GCGGGATGACGGCCATGGCGACCGCCTCTGCTTCTTTGTCCCTTCCCCCACGTTTCTTGATTTTTCTTCACCATCTATTGCTCATGAGCAACTACCGAGCGTCAACAAAGAAGACACGGCAGGTACAATGGCTACCTGAAGTATGTTTCGATTGTTTTTAGCATTAGTTAATTATATCTCATACTAGAAATTCGGCCATGCTTACTCATGAATTTCACGGCTAGGGTTTATAATAATCAATATTTTCAGATTCCCTTCTAGCAATCTCAGATTCACGGCTAGGGTTTTTAATAATCAATATTATCACCCCAATATCCCTGCTATAAATATACAAAAGCAGGATTTTTGTTGCTCTGATGAAGAAGACTCTTAGGACCTGAACGATGGAGATGACAATGACCTCAACAATTGTTCATGCTACCATTGCTACCTTTGGTGAGCTTTTAGTTATTTCTTTTCTGACCTTACACCATAATGCTTTGTATTTTTGAGATGGGTTACCTTAATTCGAGGTTGTAAGCTATATTTCTAGGGCACCGATGTCTTCCCCCATTCTTGCGGGTGGGTGGATTTGCCGGTTTAACTTTAGGTCTAGATGAAGAGGATGGTGGCTATGCCTTCTAAGCAGCGATTCTGCAAGACATACAATTTGGTATAATACGGTCAGAGAGGTATACAATTCCAATTTTAAAATGTCCTTTTTATTAAATTATGATTTTCAAATAAAGAAAATCCAATTTTATAAATTTGATTATCAAATATTAAATAATTTTATGTTTAATTTCATTTTCTGTTTATAGAGAAATGTGAGTGTTTGAATCCTAATGTTAAGCTTTTCAAATAACTCCTCAGTAAAATATCTTTGAATACAAAAGGCTCCAATACAGTAGGCTAATAAACTTTCTTTTTGTCATTACTCCCTGATGGAGCAACTTTGTTTGCATACCCATACTCTAAGAATGTTAAAAGTATTTTCGTGCATACTCGCATTGCAAGCTTTGGGAATACCCACTTTGGAGGCATCATAATTGAAATGATATGGAATAGTTTTTGGTAATAGTATTTTTTTTGCTACTATATTAGATGGCCTTATTGCAAATTCCTCTTCTCTCAAACACTTGCGTATGCAATGTGTGTCTTGATGTTAGGTCTTAAACCCTTATTGGAAGGCTTAAGGCTACTGCACCTGGTGTTATTGTTTGGTATATATAGTGTACCTATAATGATCTACTTCATGAATAAAGTGACTAGAACTTTAATTCAACATTGAAGCAGATAAAAAAAATTCCTCCTGGTCAATTGCACACGCCAATGAGAAGTTCTGTAAACACCTTCCATTAAAGATACTTGACACTGGCTTTTGCCATAAAGGGCAACCTTTCAAATTTTTGAAGTTCCTGTAAAATTTTTTAAACAGGTTGTGGAGGATGATCAATTGACCATGAGTGTGGCTCTATACCGAGGTACACATCTGTTTCTTTATTTAATCTTTCATTTTCAATCCTCAAATAAAATCATTGTTTGACCTTCCTAAGATACAGAGGATTAAACTCTAATGTGAGTTTTGGTTTTTAGCTGGTTCAAATTGAGCTCTTTTAGATTTTGGTTGTTTATAGTTTTTGGGGTTAATTTGAATGGACTCCGGGTGATGGGTCTCTGTTAAAATTCCGGCGGGCCGATAACAACGGATAGAGTGTCGGGCAAGGTAGTCAAAATCGCGATCCGGATCGTACGATTGTACGATTCCGGAGATCGCCAGGAGGGTTCCGATCCAACTCGCAGTCAAAATCGCAAGAATCCTTAGGGTCGGAAGAATCGCCGATCCGGATCGTGCAATCGCACAATCGCAGGAAATCGCCGATCTAAACAAAGAAAAGAATCGGAAATTGAAAAGCCCTAATTTGTTGCTTCGATTTTGTCGATTCAGTCGCTTCGACTATTTCGCTACTCCCAATTTGAATCGCGATGATTTCGCGACTTCCAATTTGAGTATTTTGTAGCTTCGAAGCCTTCTCCCTTCTAACGCGGCAAAGTTTGTTGCCCTGCGCGTCTCATCCCAGTCTCAATTTTTGCCCAGGTTATATGTATGATTTTTAATTTTATATACTCCCTCCGTCCCTCATAGATCTTCCCATTAGCCCTTTTTATTTGTCCCACATAGATCTTCTCATTATCTTTTTTAATAATTAAAATACCACAACTACCCCCACTTACTTTATTTATTACACTTTTTCCACCTTATTTAATACACCCCACCCATTTTCATTAAGGGTATTTTGGTAAACTTTCACCTTTTTAACTCTCCTTAAAAACCGCAAAAAGTCAAAACGAGAAGATCTTAGAGGGACGGAGGGAGTATATATATATATATATATATATATATATATATATATATATATATAGTAGGATCTTACGATCCGAGTCACGATCTTACGATGTTACGATCTTCATTAGGCCCATCGATCCTACGTAGAATCTAGAGTTTGACTACCTTGGTGTCGGGTAAAATTAACCACTTGCATATAAAGTTGGGATCCACAATTCTAACCCAAAAGCTTAAGCTGATAGGTAGGGCTTCACCCTTCAATATATGTAAGTGATACTCATCTTTATTTTCCGATGTAGGAACTCCAACACTCCCCCGCAAGTGGTAACTAGCCTGGCCTAGTTAGCACTTGGACAAACGGATCTAGCATCTCAATCTCTTATAGCTAGCCCACACAACAGGCGGTGGCATCTCAATCTCTTTTTAGCCAACTCAGCCCAAACCACAGACGGGGTAGCTCATTTTTGCCAAACCCACATCCAAACAACTAGGAACAATCAAACCCGGACCGGACCTGCTCTGATACCATGTTAAAATTCCGGCGGGCCGATAACAACGGATAGAGTGTCGGGTAAAATTAACCACTTGCATATAAAGTCGGGATCCACAATTCTAACCCAAAAGCTTAAGCTGATAGGTAGGGCTTCACCCTTCAATATATGCAAGTGATACTCATCTTTATTCTCCGATGTGAGAACTCCAACAGTCTCGAAGATTTTATGGTATACATTATGTCATAAAGGAAACACTTCTTTAGAAGGAAGCTGCTCAAAGAATGACCTAAGTGTAACCCATTTATTTTTATTTTTTGTGATATGTTCATCGTATCTTAGTGATATTAGAATTAGAGAATACATTGACGGTAGTTGTTAAGATTTTTTAATGATAGATTCCTTTTTCGTAAATATTGTTTTTGTTGCTGTTCACATAAATTCATAAATCCTTGGCAGGTTACATGGCGTATGATGTGGAGTCTTACAATGCCACGAGGGTTATGAGCATTGGTGGTTTTTGAACGAACCCTCTAGCAGATGAACGATTCATTTCTCTTTCATTCATGTATCTATGCTCCCATCTCTTAAATGTCATCACAGATTGCCATCTTTCTGACCACCACAAGAGGTTGATTTTGCCCTATGGGTCGACTGAGAGTGGCAATGGTTCTGTTGTTCTCGGATTCCAGTATCGTTTCACTCACCGCCTCTCTCACAAACGATGAAAAAGTTTGAGGCTCATAGAGGCCATTGAGGGGGCTAGCCTAGAAAGACCACTAGCTGCGACGAGTACAAGTGTACAATTACGAGTTTTCTTCCTTCAATGTGGCGGCAACAACACAACAATTCATAAAAACAAAGAGATATGACCCTGAACCTGTCAACCGGCACTAAAGTGAAAGGAAGCCACCAGATTGAGCATCAGTTATTCTTCGCATTGCAGCATAGAGGTAATATCAGTTCTTGACCATCAACCATTTGGTTCAATTTTGAACTCTCTTGGTATTTATCTTTTTTATTTTAAAAGTGACATCCGTATGCTAAATTTGTAGGTTGAAGTTTAACAGATTGTTTGATTGATTAATTGAAGAGTTGTGAATCTCACTTTGTGAGGTTTGAAAAAAATCGCCAAACCTTACAAATAAAAGGTAATTTTTAACTTTTTATCTTAAACATGCTTATGAGTTGTTTTTGTAATGGTAAAGCCACATTCTATGAACTTTTTCTTGGCAAAGAAATTGCCACGGGGGGTCTAGCGCAACACGGATGCAAGGGAAATCCTTGACCAGTGACGATCTCTGCCGATGGTTAGAATCGAGGAACCATAGAGTTGGATCAACCCCAATAGGTGGTTCGGGGAGAGTCTTGCGTATTCGTGAGGCAGAGGAGTGATGAACAAACCGCCAAGGCAGGACAGACGCAGCTCTAACGCAGCTTCTTCTCCTTCAATTCTGAAGTTCAAATTATAATTTAGGGTTCCACTAATAATTTATTTGGTTTGTTTCATTTCTGTTGGGAATTTTGATTAATTGATTCCAGTTGCTTTCTCTTCCCCTGTAGCATATGATTGTTCAATTTCTAGCAATTAATTTATATTATTTATTTTGGCATTTCTTTGTGTAGGGTGTTATTCTAGGCGTCCCTGCAGAGTTAACCAAAGGAAAAGCTGTCACGACTGGTATCCCTTCTGTGAGCTTGGTTTATATCTATTAAACACTATTTGTCATATGTTTGGTCTATCTTCTTATTTCTTAAGATTTAAATGATTGATATTTTTTTAACTTATTTATGAAATCCCATTTGTGAAATATCTTCTTTGATTCGTATTTTATAACTTATTGGGATTATATTTTATATTATTTGAAGATGGGTGTTACCTTAGATCAAAAAATATTGTTATTTGAAGGGTAGTGTCGCTACTACCATGGAAAATCGCTCTTAGGCTGCTACTATATATGAACAATTCATCTAAGAGTACTTCTGCTCCTGTTCCAACAACTCATTTGATTTGCTCTTAGGTTTTGGAAGCTAAGAATGCACACAGATCCTCTCTAGACCCAAACCAAAATCAAAAGAAAAAATAGACCTTAACCCAAACCAAAAGATTACCATTTCCAAAACCATGTAGCATGTAGAATATCTCCATTCACTCTTTCCAAACAAACATAAAACCTCATCACGATAATAATTTACGTCTAACTCACTACATTTAAATTATAATAGTCGATGGACACGAGCTCATAATATACTTTGCATAAATAATTCTTCTAAAACTTTCTCAAATGGGTATACTTTCTCTTAGTGTACTTAGCACATACTTTTTTCCCTGTTGGATGAAGTTGCAGTCTAGGCTTTTATTGTAGCAGGTTTGACTGACCATTGGAAATGCTTTGGGATAGTACTGCAGGATAATTGAATGCTTTGAGATATGCTTTTATTTGATTGTGCTTCCTCATTGCTTTGAGATTACCTTTTATTTCACTCCAACAATGTAAATCAAATTATTTTAATTCATTTCACTTTCTCTTTAATGTTAGTATTCATTGATTTTCAAATTATTTTAATTCGTTTCACTTTCACCTAAACAATTTTTTTTATCTTTCTTGGTGGAGGTTTTATTTTCAATACCTCATATGTTCCTAAAGCTTTGGTTTTGATTTTTGAGAAAGTTCTGAAGACAATACCAATATTGAAATATAAATATTTCTATAACATAGTCAGGGTTCCAGGATTGCAAGTCGAGCTAATTTGTTGTTAGTGACGTGTATTGTAAGTAATAAATTTACCAACTTTTTCCTAAGTTCTGTTTTGCAGTGAAATAACTTGCAATTAGAATACTCTGTATATCATTTCGTTTTGTGTTCCTGATCAATTGTGTAAGATTTTTCATAATGTGATCATGTTATTATGTAAATATTAATAGTTGATTTGAGACTATATTTATTATATGCTTATTTTAAGACAATGTGGGTATTACTTTAACATGGTATTTTGGCATCATTTTTGAGTTTATGAACCCTTAATTAATTTATGTTTCTGTTCATCTCTTATAATGTCTGTGGTTGTTCTCCCTTATTGGCTTATCACTGTATTATGATGTTTTTTACTTTTCAAGTTCTCAAGAACTTGCTGACAAGAGAGAAGGGATTTTTACTGCTTCATGATTCAAATGACAATGTAAGTTAATCTAATCTCTTATGGTCTCTTTTTAATTTTTTATGGTGTCTTTTTTGAACATGTTATTTGTTATACTAAAAAAAGCACTTAGACAACAAGAATTGGTTTGGTGTTGTAAGAAAAAAATAAAACCTTCACTTAGGCAACAAGAACTGGTTTGGTGTTAGAGGGTGTATATATGTATCATTATCCTTTTCAGGTGCACATATGTGTCATGTGAATAAGATCTCAAAATACTCTAGACGCCCATAGTCACATCCTTATGTTGTTGTTCTTTTTTGTTTTTATAGGCTTTGTATTTCTCTGTTCAAATTCAGAAGCAGCTGTTTGAACACTATTCAAATATCAAAAACTTTGCTAATGCAGATGAAAGTCTCTTGACATGGAGATTTATTTATGCAAGTAATGCTTGATGCCCTTTGATAAATAACTTATATTTTTGGGTTGAGTTCAAAACTATTACTTCTTAATACATCATTCCTAATGATATTGTCAATTTCAAATTTTCTTTTCATTAATAGATCAACTTTTAGAAAAACATTGTAGTCTCTCACTATTTTTTTCATCTCTTGGAACTAGCTTTTAGTCAAAGTCATTGGTTTGATCTATGACTATGATGTGGTCACTTAGTTTTTGCAAGAGTAGTTAAGAGTAGTTGCTTGATTTTGGGTGTTTGGATATTGATTTTGACACAAGTTTCTACTCATGGGATTAAGTTATGGCTATGGCAAAGGCAAATATCAGACTTGGCTAATGGTGATGGCTACTGGCTTGGTTTGCTTTGATGCTGGTTTTTTTTTTCCGTTTCTTCTCCTAAACCCGGTTTTGGTCATACATCTTAAGAGTTACACTCCTATTTTTAGAGGGTCTTTAATTTAGTCCTCTTTTATATTTTTAATTTTTTTGGCAATCATAAACTTTACTATTCTTTATTTTTTAAAAACACATGAACAAAATGGTGCTAATTAACATCTAGGGGCATAACAGGCATAACAGGCAGTAACTAATTTGCATACAACAAACACGTGCATAAACTACATTATAAGTTTTGAACAAAATGGTGTCTACTAGTTACATTATAAGTTTTGAAAAATTTCTTTATAAACTACATTGAATCTCCTCCTTTTTCTCGAAGCCGAATCAAAGTAGACACGAACGGCTTGTAACATAAAGACCCAAGCGGTGCGATTTTTGTCAATCTCGGCAAGGACATTCCAGACGCGCTTTGCATGTTCTTGAAATATTTTTGAAAGAATGGCATTTTTTTGAAGATGAGATTGTTATAAAATGTTTGCGATATACGGAGTAAGTAGTATATATAATTGGACCATCAACCTACCCATTAAATGTTTGAATTTTGTAAATTTGTTTATTTAATTTGACATTAAATATGCACGGAGTCATGCACTACCTTTTTATTTTCTTAAATCTTTGGATTTTGTGAATCTATTTATTGAATTTGATATAAAGTTTGCAATATGACAGGCACCAATACAAAAAACCTTTTATTTATTTGTACTTTTTCATAACCTATATGATAAATCGAGTAAAACTTGTCACTACTTGTTTTGTTGAATTTGTAATGTATTTTGTAAATATGTAAGTTTTATTTTTCATTTTTATACCAATATTTATATAAAAAAGATTGAAAATATTTGATTTTTTTCGTTTAAGGCAACATATATATATAAAGATATGGAACAGAAGGAGTAAAATTATAATGTATTTCAATCTTAAATTTTTTAAAATTTGCATAAATGCTTTTTAAGTGTATTCAAACCCAAATTAGACCGTAACCGACCTGACCAAACCCGACTGAATATTAAACCAAATCCGAACGAAAAAATAAATGTCTAAAATCAACCCGCCAATATCAAACCTGAACCCAAACTATTTCGGGCCAGATCTCAATATACTCAAATCTACCAACCCGTTTAAGTCTTAAAAAATCATACACTCTCGATCCCTTGGTATTTGTCAATTTTTGACTTTTTTCCGTCAAAATTGGTAAACTTTGACATCAAATTAAATAAAAATGATATTAGATATTGATACAAAAAGAGTTTTTCTTAGATTTGTTTTATCAAATATTTTCAAAATATTACTTTACTTCATTAAAGTATAATATTTATTTTATTTAATTATAGGTCAAAGGTTAAAAACAATTGATTGAAAAAAATCAAAACTAGACAAATGGTAGTATACTAGTATTTCAAACTAACTCACCAACCCAATTTTACAACATGGCCCACTTATTCTCCTTCAACCCAATCTAACCCACCCCGATTTCATTTTCTACCATAACCAACAAACCTCCCCCCCCCTCTCTACGCCACCGCCCCACCGAGATCAGAGCTGAAGATGATATGTGGTTTCAATTCTATTTATCTTTATTTATTTATCTCCGTTGTAGAATATTTGTTTATTTTAATTTTTACACATCATCCAATATACTTTTTTAATCCATTTTATCTTGTAATTTGTATATTAAAAAATTATAGAAATTATATATTAATAATCTATATGTTAAAACAAATCAAACAAGATCACACATGACTATATTTAGGCTTACATATTGAGAGAATTTGATGAGTCAAAGTGCTTAGATGAACAGTTCCAAAAGTCAAAAGTGAATAAAAACTGGGGGCGGTGGGAGTAGATGTGAAGACATCACTTAAGTATTTTGGTTCGAACTTCATATCTATGGATCTTTTACTCTTTTTATCTTTTTTACATTTTCTATTTTAAATTGTTAGTATTCATCCATGGTGCTTAAATATTTTACGAATTCTATCTTCCCCATTTGACTTGTTTTTTTCTAGAAAATGAAGAGCCAACTGCCAAAGATATGATGTTATATATATATATATATATATATATATATATATATATATATATATATATATATATATATATATATATATATATATATATATATATATATATAGGGGCTGGTTCCCGTGAGAACGAGTCTTGTGGAGAGAAATGAGAATAAATAATAACCATTGATAATACAAATCTAAGGGTCTACATTAGATCTTAAAAGTGGCGCCATTGACTACTTAGTATGGTAAAAAATAATTCATCTCCATCAATTTAGGAGTGAAACGTGCGCATAGGGCATTAGTGTAATTGTGATAGACACTAAAGGATCGTGGGCAATAAATCCCACTTATAGTGCCGTTATTATAGGAGTATTAAGAGTTATCTTATTAATTCTTTCTTTTTTAAATCATGCACCTCATTATTACGCAAAAATTTTCATACAGAGCATTAATGTTTTTTTTCTCTTTTTTAATTTGTAAACCATTTTTCTTCTATATAAATCATTAATGAATAATTTTTACTATTAAGTTTTTGTAATATTTTATTTCTTTTTGCTTAATGATAATGCACTTCTCGTGGTTCAAGAGATTTGTTTATTTCCCTTTTTTTAAAACAAATAGTATGTCGTTTACAATTTTTTCCCCTTTTTTAAATACTATTATTCCCCATTTTTTTCATCAATTGCTTTCACATTTTTTAATGATTAGTCACACAATTGTGGTGCACTTGACAATGATTTTAGTTATTTAGAGGGAATCAAGGAAGTTTTTCTCGTGTGATAGTTTTTTGTTTTATGCATTATTCATATATAGATGCAATACGTTTTGTAAATTGTGTATGCATTGTGATCATCGGTATATGCACTATCATTTGTCCTCTAGACTTAATTAAAATAATATTTAATTTATTATTAGATTGGAGAAGATGACTCCTAACTGACTTTATATGTGATGAAACAACTTAAAACGCACTGTATTTATAACAAGTATAATACAATATTAAAAAATAATTTGCCTATGCGAGATTTGAACTCACATCTGTAGTACATACCGCTCTATCATTTGAGCTAGGAGGCAACGACTTGTTTTTTCAAAGAGACTCTCCCCTTTCACTTGGACGTATTAAAACACATTTTAATCTCTTAAAATTTTTATCCTCCAATGTCTTTCTAACACATTCAAAATGTGTCACAAAACATTTTCAATGCATTATCATTTGTAGGAAATTCACTATATAAAATATACAGGTGCATCATATTTGTGCAATGAGTATTTTATCATCAATGCATTATCTTTGATTAAGAGAATGCATTATCTTTTACTTTAGAGTATGAGAATGCATTATCTTCTCATGTAAATGCATTACAGTGATTCTGATAATGTAGACTATCAAAATATACTATTCCAACATATGAACAATAATAAGCAACATCAAACGAAAAGAATGCAATATGGGAGTATAGTGATCTTAATAGTCAAAAAAGATAAGTATGTATTCACAGTAATCATTGCCAAGACAGGTCATATATACATGATTTTGGTTCGTGTGAAAATGCGATCTTATGAAAGAAATAAGAATGAATCTGGTGCTTTAGATTGTGAGATCTAATGGTCAAGATTGCATCAAAATTCGGTGCAACAAAATAGTTTGAAAATGCGTCATGTCGAAATGCACCAAAAGCTTTTGAAAATGCATTATCTCAACACTGAGTGTAGGATACAATCTGAGCCGCACGATGCATCAGATCCAAAGGTTAGATTTTATTCTTAATTCTTTCACCAAGGTGCATTCAATATACGTTTCTCACAATTTGTAGTTAAAGCGTGTAAATATTTGAGTAAATACTATTTAAAATGAAAACTTTTTTGCGGGAGAGAGGGAGTAGAAAAAATACCAATACAAAATTTCTTTTTTTTTCTTTTGATTAAACCAGAACAAAACATATGGGATAAAAATTACAAAAAATCTATCATATTAAGTTGCTCCTCTTTGAAAAGTTAAATGGAGTAGAAAGTATTTACAATATAAAATTGGCAGGCATGAACTCTCATTTAAAGCAAACAAAAATCCATCTAAAAAAAGTCTCTAGAAACAGTGACAACTGACAACGAAAAGAATTTGTTGAGCATACCCAGAACAAGGCAAAACTTATCAAAAAATTTTATTTTATTAATTAAATAAATATTGTAACACCAAATAAAGAAGAAGAAAGAAGTTTTAAGAAAGAATTAGACATGTAGTCATGTAGGCGTGAAAGGCAAACATAGAAGTCTCTCGATTGCCGCCGCCGTCCGATACAAAGGGTTGCTTGTTTTCGGTGGAATGATGCAATTTTTATCTCTGCCGCCTGCTCAGTCACTTCCATCAAGAACATTCCACTAAAGAATTGAAGCTATGAAACAACAGATATGAGATCTAAAAGGAGATGGAAATCTTGATTTGGGGAATATGTACTGTAATAATAATCCTTAATGGAGAGAGATGTGGTTTCCTGCGGCGCTGATTTTGCGGAGCATAAATGGAAAATATAAGAAAATACACATATGCCCCTATGTGATGCGGATCAAAAGGCCTCCATCCAAAGGCTCACAATCATTCTCATTTCTCTCCTAAGATCTCATTCTCACTGGAACCAATATATATATATATATATATATATATATATATATATATATATATATATATATATATATATATATATATATATATATATATATATATATATATATATATATATATATATATATATATATATATATATATAGACAACTCTGGGAACACTCCTCGCTCTAAAAGGCACAATGGCTACTTCAAAATCCCCTTTTGCCTCAGAAAAAGAGCAGTTATATGTGATGGCCGAGAGAGAGATGGAGTACAGGGTAGAGTTGTTCAACAAGCTGACCCATACATGTTTCAAAAAGTGCGTGGAGAACAAATACAAAGAATCTGAGTTGAACATGGGTGAAAATAGTTGTATTGACCGATGTGTTTCCAAATACTGGCAGGTGAACAGTCTGGTAGGAGGACTTCTGGGTGGTGGTCGGCCTATGTAATTGTTGATTTTACAAAAACATGTTCTCATGATCTCTTTCACGGATGATGAAAGAAAGAGGACAAGTGCAACTACCTTTTCGTCCAATGCATTTACGTTTTATGGGAAACTACCCCCTTTTTGTATTATCTTTTGAAAACCTCTTGACATTCCCTTGTTTCGTCTGCATCTCTAGTAACAACAAAATGCGGCATACCGAGTATAATGGTTGATTTGTAAAGCACTTCTCCATCTTGAATTTAGTTTGTTTATTTCTCTTCTTTGGCTGTACACAATATATATATATATATATATATATATATATATATATATATATATATATATATATATATATAAAATCCCAGGCCCAATAGTCTACCAAAAAAAAGAAATAAAGGAACGAAACTACGGAAGAAACTGCCCTCCATTCCTCCCGATCGTATTCACGAAGGGACGAACCAGAGACGCCGAGTCGACGATCTGCACGCCTCCAGGTAATTATTCATAGCTTTCCCTTTCCAATTTTGTAATTTTTATTTCTTAAATCTTAATTTTCTTTCATTGTTTCATTATTTAGATTTAAAATCTAGAGTTAGTTATTAGTTTTAAATTTGAAATCTTTTCTAATTTCATTCTTTGAGATAAATTGAATGAATGGTTCTATATGTTATTTATTTGATATGGATGAATTGTTTTGAATTTGTTATTTATGATAATTATATATTTATATTAAAAAAACAGAAAACTGAAAAAAAAATAAAAACTGAAAAATTGTTGAATTGATATGAATTTATGATTTATAAAAAAATTAAACTGAAATATAAAAAAACAATTTAAAAAGGACAAATTGACGAATTGATCAACCAATTTGCTCTCAAGAATGCAAGGAGAACTTCTCGAATCTTCGGCTAGCTTTTACGGTATGTAATTATTATACTTTAATTTTGTCATTTATTTTTTTTCTTTTAATAATATTGCGTTAATTATTATTTAGATATAATTAGTTTACATATGTGAATTTTTTAGATCATTAAATAAAAGATTTTTAGGGCCTTTTTTTGTTTCGGCCCAGCAGGACCGGCCCTGTAGGTACTAGGTAGGTTCTATTGGGGAACATAATAAGTGCACGATCCACACTGTTCGCCCTTCCCGGAAAAAGGATTCAACAAATATGGAGGCACCGGAACCAGGGCGGAATGGCTCTGTTAAGAATCTCCATTGCCGATCCAAATCAGAGGTATGACTGCTTCAAGGTTTTCTACTATTATTATTATTATTATTACGGAGTATTAATATTCCCTCCGTCCACAAATAAATTTCTCGTTGCGCGTTACAATGTTTGATTGAAGTTATTTTCAAATAATTTTATATGAAAAATGGTGTAAAATTTAAAAATAAAAATTACAACATATTTAAAAACTATATCAAAAGATCTATAAAACTAGAGCTGACATGACTATATTATTGATTATTATTAATTATTATTTATTACTCCGTATTATTTATTATTATTATTATTATTTATTATTTATTATTATTTTATTATTATGATGGGTTTTCTCCATCGCCAATCCAATAAGCATTAGCCGGACCCTGGTTAGAACATAGAGTGGCTAAGAGGACAGATGCTGAGTGCCTGAGTGTCCAAAGATGACTTATGGAAAAGTTATTCCTGCTAGCCAGTTTTGTGGAAGAAATATCTCAAGTATTTTACTACGGAGTAGTAGATACATGAGGGGGGAAAATACTACACGCCGCTTTATTTTCCTCTTTTCTTTTCAATATCAGTTATATGATTGTTGGTGGATTTTGTGTTTTTCAAGACTTCCGCAGCCACACCCCCTTCTCTATAAATAAGTTAATCGCATGTCATTATATTTTATTCCTCATCCGTCTCTATTTGTGTTATTGCAGGGAAGTTTATCCTCGGATCTACCCCCCGAGCAAAGACAATTGTTCCAAGAGCTGAATGTGGATGATACACTTGTGAATGATACGCAGGGTTCATCTGTCAAAAAGAGGAAATTGTATCTTGAGCTGAATGTGGCTGCACAAGGTATACATTTCCAACATGCCTCATTTGAGTATAGACAGGGGCAACTTAGTCAAATTTAAACAAAAACTAAGCACACAAATTCTAAATGTATATATCATGCATCTAATGTGCTCCTTGCAAAGTTTATACAATTGCTGACTTCGAATGTTGCCTTTTGTGCGTATGAGACACTAATTTATTTTATTGGTTGGTGATTTGAAAATTGTCTAGAGTGGACTGTTTTGAGGTTGTTGATTCCCACGAACGATGATGATGCCATTAATAGTTTCAAGTGCCAGATTCGTCAACTTGAAACTCATTATGAGAAGAAAAATGTTGAAGTTGATTTTTATTCTGCAACTACTGGAGTTGGAGTTGTAAGTAAACCCTCATCGTGCTGCCTGTTTTTTTAATTATATGTGAAGTACTATGTTCAACATGCAATAGTTTACTCTAGACTTTGTGTGTGTTATTCTCCCTTGAATGCCTGGCTTGCTTGGGGCCTTGAAATCCTGTTAAGCCCTTTGTTCTTAGTCAAACTTTGATTATAATTTTTTTAAATTTTATTTAAGATCCATGTATGTAGAATGTGACAGTAGTCAAATTTGTGGTGCACTAATTTTTGAATACTAGTATCATCGAGTTTAATTGACACTAAAGAAAATAGAATGAACATTTTTCTTATTGGAGTTCAAGTTGTATATGATATCATCTGAATTCTTGTGCATAGGTTATGGTATCAGCGAAAAGGGACTCTAGACACGCTGTTACTCATGTTGTTAATGCTTTTGATGAGGTTCACCGATATTTTTTGCACACCATGTCTAATGAGAACTGCTTAACAAGACTACTTGTACCAGCTTCACATGCAAAAAAGTTGATTATTCTCTACACAATCAAGTCCGATAATCCGTGTCAACTTACTATGTATCTAACAGGTGTGTAATAAGCTAGCATGACATGTTCCCTATTCATATGTTATTATTAACTCTGCTAGTTCTTATTTTAACTGTAATTTATCCTAATTGATGGCATGCCCTTTTNAGACACGCTGTTACTCATGTTGTTAATGCTTTTGATGAGGTTCACCGATATTTTTTGCACACCATGTCTAATGAGAACTGCTTAACAAGACTACTTGTACCAGCTTCACATGCAAAAAAGTTGATTATTCTCTACACAATCAAGTCCGATAATCCGTGTCAACTTACTATGTATCTAACAGGTGTGTAATAAGCTAGCATGACATGTTCCCTATTCATATGTTATTATTAACTCTGCTAGTTCTTATTTTAACTGTAATTTATCCTAATTGATGGCATGCCCTTTTTAGATAACATATCAGTTTTTTTCCCTGGTGATGTGATCATTGACGTGGAAGGAAACCGTAAGCATGTGCATGCGAGAATTGAATCGATTGTTCCTTATCTAGTAGAGTTTGCAGTTGATGAGAGCATGATGTCAGAGTTTAAAGCTGGAGTAAGTTCGAATACAAAAATCTATGCATACTAGATTATATTCTATTGTGTCACTCATGTTTTTTTATGCAATGGGTACGACACAGAATGGCATTCGTCCATCATATCCTAAAATATACACACCTGGAAAAGCACCCTCATGCGTGAAAGCTCAAAGAGACTCTATGGTTAGTGCCCTTCCCCATCTACAGAATTTGCTTTTTTTTTCTTGTCCTTTTTAGTTTAGTTTATTGTTAACAACAAAAGAAAAAAAGCTCAATACAATACAAAAAAAGGGAATGAGGAAAGTGTGAGTACACGGATCTAACCCCGCATGGATCATTAGTTAGTTTATTAAGATATATAAGTGACAATCAATTATTAAAAGACAAATTTTATATGGCTTATTTACATGGGAAGTACCCCAACTATGAACCTTGAAACAACAATGTACCCCAATTTCAATTTGTAGCAAAAAATATCCAACTTTAAATTTTGTAACAAGGAGGTTTCCAAATTCTAATTTTTCTTTTCTCTCTTTTTTTTTTTTTGTGTTCACCAGACACCAATCACCACTATAGTGTTTTACTTGTTCTATTCAGTCCAATATAATATACTGTTTTATAAAAAAAGTCCATTTATATTAAATCTTCAAAGTTACTTTAATTAATATTTTGATTTTCTTACGTTTTGATTATTTTAAATATGTAATGGATAGAAATTTTAAAAATTATCCTATTCTTTTAGGGCATTTATATTTATATCTATGGAGTATTTATTAAAATATTATACACCACAAATTTAACTTTATAAAAATTATTAAATGGTTTGTTTTGGTTAATTGTTATATTTTTTATGTAGGATTAATGAAAAGATATAAATTATTAAATAATGTCTTAAATACTTAAACTCCATATTAGTAATCCGAGTAAGACAGCATTCCGTTCAACTTATTTGATCTGTTTATTATTCTTATTAAAATTAGATCAAATCAAACCACACCAAATCAGACTAAATCTAAACAAAGTTAATATTATTTTTATTACTATTACTATTATTAACACTATTATTAGTATTATTATTACTATTACAATTAATATTTTGATTATTATTATTATTATTATTATTATTACTATTAATATTAATAATAATATTATTGTTACTATTATTATTATTACTATTATTATTATATTTATTATTACTATTACAATTATTATTATTATTATTATGACTATAGTTAATATTACTATTGTTATTATACTTATTACTATTATTATTACTACTACTAATATTATTATTACTATTATTATCATTAGGATTACTATTATTATTATCATCATTGTTACTAATATTATTATTACTATTACTATTATTATTAATATTTCTATTATTATTATTCCTATTATTATTGTTATTACTAATATTATTAGTATTATTATTATAGTTATTATTATTATTACTACTTCTATTATTATTTCTATTATTATTGTTGTTTTTATTATCAATTTTTCTATTTTTATTACTATTATTATTACTATTAGTATTATTATTATTATAGTTATTATTATTATTACTATCCCTACTATTATTATTACTATTAGTCTTATTATTACTATTATTATTAATATTTTTATTATTATTATTATAACTATTAAAATAAAAATTTTAATTTTAATCAAATTCGAATCAAATCAGACCAAATCAGATCAGATCAGATAAGACCTGGTCAGATCAGACCAAATCAGATCCAATCAGATCATACAAGATCACATCAGAACTTCAAAAAATTAGATTAGATAAGGCAAACGTAACACAGCCTAAGTACTACTCCCTTCATCTTCTATAGTTCTTCCTACATATTTTTCTTTTTGGGTTCTATTCATCTCACTTTTTAAATTTTTTTTATCTAAAATAAATAAAAACTATTATTTTTACCCTACTCACTTTCCTAATTTAGCTATTAAGAATTTGAGTTTAGACAAAAAGAACAACTCAAAAAGAGTAAAAACAACCAAAGTATACTGAGAGTAATTATTACTTTATAATATACTGAGAAATATAATTATTTAGAATATTATTTTTAAATTTTTATTTTCCCGTTAAACAAGTAAAACACTACTGTTGCAAAAAAATATAAAAAGAGAAAAAAATTGCATTTTAATCCTTGTTTCACATTGCCGACTTGGGTCATGTTCTCCTCAACTTGTTATTTTACTTATTACTTATTCTTATTGGAATTAGATCAGATCAGATTAGAAATATCTTTAAATATAACTACACTCATATCAGATTAGATTAGATTCGATCAGAACTTATTCCAATCATATCAGAAACAATCAGATTAGGTGAAGAGATCATGCAAATCTGTGGTGGGTACATCCTTGTCACAAATTTTAAAGTTGGGTTTCTTTTTATTACAAATTAAAGTTGGTACCTTGTTGTTACCACACTAATATTTTTGAGTACATTAATTACAAAACTTTACAACCTGTTTGCGGTTTGGGTTATGGGATACACTTTCTTAATCTCTTAGTTACGTTAGAAATTCCCTAAATAGCAAATAAACCTTTGCAATTGCCTTAGGGATGTGCTCCAACTCACATTCATATTGTACAAGTCCAGATAAACCTTTATTCCTTCTCTTGTAAGGTTGTCTTGCAATAACTAAGGTTAATCCAAACATTATTTTTCAGGTTCATGAGTCCACAGAAATTCCTTTGTCGTATATTGATTATCTTATTGGTGAAGATGGTACAAATATTAAAATGATATGGAAATCAAGTCCGACGGCATCTGTTTCCTTGAACCCGTTTACACTTAAAGAGGTGATTATTTCTATAGAGGGTGAAGGTGATTTGGAAGTTGAGGATGCTCAGAATGCAATAGAGGTACAATTGTGGAACGCGTTATCTATTGAACTCTAGAATGAGAGAGGAGGCTAGTTGATAAACAATTTTATTTATTTATTTGCAGGATTTAATTCCAGATGATAAAAAGATAAACGGAAGGCGTGTTTTTGAGTCTACGATGGAAATGGAGGTAGGGTGTCATATGAGTTATGAGTGTGCTTCCCCTACCCTTTCAGAGGGAGGGTGTAGTATGGATTTTGATATCCTTGAAGCATAAATTGATTATACCTGGCAAACGGGTTAATCGAATCGATTCCGTTTTGCATCTACTTCCTTTGTCCAAAATTTTCTTTCCGGTTTGACCTGACACATTGATTAAGAAAAGATAAAAATTGAGGGTATAATAAGACATTCATTAAATATTTTTTGTCAAAGTAGGAAACGAGAAAGAAATTTTTAGACGGTTCAAAAAGGAAAGTAAGCAAAAAATTAATGGATGAAGAGAGTATTCAATTTGGGTATTTGTGAACATATGTTATATTACCTCCGTCCCATTGTCTTTGTCCAGTTTTGACTTTTGAAACTGTTCATCTAAGCACTTTGACTCATCAAATTCTTTCAATGTGTAAGCCTAAAAATAGTCATGTGTGATCTTGTTTGATTCGTCTTAACATATACCCAAATTATTAATATATAATTTTTATAATTTTTTAATATATAAATTACAAGATAAAATTGATTAAAGAAGTGCATTGGATGGTGTGCCAAAAGGTAAGTGGACAAAGACAGTGGGATGGAGGGAGTAATTTGTTTGGTTCGGCTTAATTTTAGCTGGTTCGGTTTAATTTTAGTTGGGGTTCATTCATTTATTTGGTTCGGTACAGTTCAATTTGATTTTAGATCAGTATAGAAACAATTGGTATGTAAATTAGATCGGATAAATCTTGACTTCAGATATTAAAGTTTGGATAAATTAGTATCAGATATATTTTGGTATCAGATATCTTTTGATTCCAGATATATTTTAGTTCTTGAATATATTAGATATAAATTGTTTTCTCATCCCCTGTACATAAAAATGACTCCAATAATTAGGTGACATGTCTCCTTATGTAACTTTTGTAAGCCTAAACATACAACCTAATTTAAGACATAGACAACATTAGTCATTGAGTAATATAAATAAGGAGTTTTTTTATGATAGTATTCTTTATTAATTCTATTCTCTGTCTCAAATTAAATTATTTGTTTATTATTTACAGGATTAAATTTAATTTATTTTTTTATATTTTTGTTAGTTGTTTGATAAAATAATATAATAATGTCACCAATAATTTTGTAGATCTTTTGCTCTAATTTTTTAATATGTAATCTTTATATTTTAGTTTTACATCATTTGTCATATAAAATGATTTGAAAATAATTTCGATAAACATCATAAACCAAAATGAGAAATTTAAATTGAGACGGAAAGAGTATAACTTTTTCAAATAATTCGTTAGTGGGACGCCAAACTAGTTGAGTTGATTAATTTGAGATGGTTAGAGTTTATAATTTGGTAGTTTGAGTATATTCTGCAATTTTTTTACTACACCCATGCACAGATTATTTAAATGTACACATAATCTGTTTTGGGTTTCATCGTTTTGTCTATTATCAATTTTGGATTTATTTGGTTTGAGGCCTAATCGATTTGGATTAAATAAGATTTGAATCTAAATCGAGTAAGAAGAAATTTAATTTTGTTTTGGTTTGGATCACTATGGGCCTTTGGTTTTATATCGATTTTCCAATTTTTGGGTAACCTCGAATTTGGTTTTGGATATTAGTCCGAGTAATCTTTCGAGTCTATTTTGTCAAGTCTAAACTTGATGACCACTTCTCTTAGAGCATGGACAATGACAAGTAGAAAATGGAATGTCGCACGATGAAATCGAATATTTTAGCCAATCAAAATCAGTTTAGTGAACGTGTGACATGTGAGTGGAGTGACATGTCTTATAATGGCAAGTAATTATGTTTGTAAATTTTCTATACTTTTTAAACATATGTTAATCATTAAAAATTACTCATCTTGGTATCAGATATCATCTAAAATAATGTCGTACTCATTTTCCTACATTGGTTTTATATAATTATAATATTTATCTACAAATAATGTAGTGTTCATTCTAAAAAAAACAGTACTCATTCTCAAATAATTTAGTATTCATTCTCATATAAAATAAAATCCATATCATACGTAATTTCTTGGTTGTACCCAAAATTGGGTGCAACTGGATGTATAATATAATTTGTCTTGGATGAATACATTAATGAGATCGATGGATGAGATGTTAAGTGGCTTCTATGGCTACTGGATAGGAGTGGCTCCAAAACCTTCCCGATAATAATTATTATTACTATTGTTGTTGTTATTGTTGCTACTACTACTACTTGATGATGATGATGATGATGATGATGATGATGATGATGATGATGATGATGATGATGATGATGATGATGATGATGATGATGATGATGATGATGATGATGATGATGATGATGGGTGTTCCATTCGTAAAATTGACAGTTCATGCCCCCATAACCCACCCCTTAACTCTCCACCCTACCCCGCCCATGTACCCCTACCCCGCATGAATTTTTTCCCTAAAAATAAATTATATATAAATTTTATTAGATATAATCACACAGTATGATTCCGATGTATTAATAATCTTACTTCACGAATCATTAATGTTTTAATTTTAGTTTTAAATGTATAGAGGGATTCAGTTAAAGTGTATATTGTGGGTAGAACACATTAATTTGGTGATCAATGGTCTCAACGAAGTGAAACGGCAGCCTCTAATTCAGGTGATGCAAATGGGAAAACTTAGACTATATATGCAATGATATTCTTATAATATTATTTCAATATAGATTTGAAATAGTCTGACACAAAGAATCAAGTCTAATGGTTGATGTCTTTAATATTTTAGAATGAGTGCCAATTACAATCTCTCGAGCTCTTAAATAAGTTTCGTGCTTACGGAGTATCAATTCATGAGTTAACTTTAAAGGTAAGTATGCCTATTATGTAGTTGAGAAATATTGATCATTCATTCGGTTTATATAATCGTACACGGTTGATAGTAACTCAGTTGACTAATCACTCAATACAAAGAAAGGTATTATCTGGAAGACACATAGATGAATCAGTCCTTGTTTAAAGACTATCATTGACACGATCTGATACAATAATTTTATTCAAGTTTCAAAGAAGACAATTCTCTATAGTTATTTCGTACGCAATGATGATTAACAAGAGTCGGGGGCAATGTCTAAAACATGTTGGATTCTTGTTACGGGAACCGGCATGTAGTTATGGTCAACTGTATATTATAATTTCAAGAATAATAAATCGTAGTTGTTTCAAGATTATGATATGCAACAAAAATAATATTTTCACTAATTGTACGAATAATATAATTTATAAAGAAGTCTTTTGAAATTTGTAAAACAAAATGCTTTTGTACTTTGAAATAATAAAATATTTATATTCCACTAGATATTATTTCATATAATTCAAAAATAATTTTAATTTAGTTATGTGAATATGATATCTCTAAACAGAAAACTGCTCTGGGGTACCCCATATTTTGAGAAACTAACTGCTGGGTACCTTATATTTACAAAATATACTCCGAGGTACCTTCTATTTTGAGAAACTAACTATCGGGTACCTTACATTTTTAAAATATACTCCGAGGTACCGTCTATTTTGAGAAACTAACTATCGGGTACCTCACATTTTTAAAATATACTCCAGGATATCTCCAAATATACATTAATTTTACGTCATTAATTTTAAGAAAATTGAGTACTCAATTTTAAAAGTATTGAGTACAAATTTCTTCAAATTAAAAAGATCTTGGTTACTTTTAAAATTCCAAACCCCTATTTCTTAAAATTAATGGCGTAAAATTAATGTATATTTGGAGGTATCCTGGAATATATTTTAAAAATGTGAGGTACCCGATAGTTAATTTCTCAAAATAGAAGGTACCTCGAAGTATATTTTAAAAATGTGAGGTACCTGATAGTTAGTTTCTCAAAATAGAAGGTACCTCGGAGTATATTTTAAAAATATGAGGTACCCGGCAGTTAATTTCTCAAAATACGGGGTACCCAGGAGCAGTTTTCTGATCTCTAAAGCACTAGATATTCTCCTTCCCAGTCCCCACAGGGCTGCATATCATTGAGTCATTGACTAACCCCTAGAGGAGCTGAATTCCGATTGGAGGGTGGTGTGGAGAATGGTACTCTCTCAGAAGCTTCACGAAGCATTCAAAGGAACGGTGGAGAGAATCACCAGTCCCCGCACCGTATCTGCCTTCAAAGAGAAAGGCGTTCTCAGCGTCAACGAGTTCATCCTCGCCGGCGACAATCTCGTCTCCAAATGCCCTACCTGGACTTGGTGATTCCTGTTCCGATTCTATTAATTGTTCAATTCCAATTTTTCTCACAAATTTGTCATCGACTTCTGTTTTTTGCACCACTACTGCAGAACATTGGCCCTATTAGGAGATTTTAGTCTCTATATTTTCATCATTCTGAATGATTGGTTGGGTTATTCAACTTCACCCAAGTTTCATTTGACATTGATTTTCAATATTATATTCTGTCTTCGGACACCAGCAGTGATCCATCCAACCAGTTCCTGCCCCTCTTGGGGGTGCAAATGGGCAAGGATGGGGACAAGTAGGGGGCAGGGGTTTAGGGGAAGGGTTAGGAGAGTAGGAACTATTTTCGGGTCGATTGGAGCACTGTAAGTTTCTCAATTGAACCAATGTTATATTATGACATCGGAACCCAATGTCAAAAGAACCGGACTCATTCAATTTATGTGATGGGATTACTTACTTCTCTTAAAATATTGTACTGTATTATTAGATGCAACATGTATCAATATTGTCTCACCGTATCTAGTTAATTTTGCTTGCAGGGAATCGGGTGAGCCTAGCAGGAGAAAGTCATATTTACCCGCTGAGAAGCAATACTTGATTACTCGAAATGGTAATTGCACGCATTTACACTGAGTAGATATTGGCCATATAAGTGCTACGAGTATGTAACACTGAAAAGCGAGCTTATTGTTTGCATGAGCTGACCAACTGATGCTGCAGACGATATCATCTATAAATATAATTGTGATACTAGTGCTGAATGGTTGATATCATAATACTTTCATTTATTCTACCTCACTTGATGTTTTTCAAATAAATTCCTGTTTTGTGCACCCTCCACAAACACCACCCAAAAGTGTATAAATAAAAATATTCTTTTGGGAATCGGCAAAATTTCATCAAATTTCCAATTTGGCCAAACAAGCCTTATGGAAGATAGAGCAGGTCCTACTCAAACTTACATACACAGAACTTAAACAGACACTTAGCACACACTAATAAACACCTCCTAGGAATTACAAACTTCACTTCTCCGGTATTAACTCAAACTTCTTACTTGTTGACTTGTTGTTAACACAACCCTAGGTTGGTTCTCAAATCCAAATATAAACATAGCAATCCTCCTTCTAGGCTTCTTGTTTGAATAGTAGCAATTTACATGCCCTCCAATCCGCATGCCAAATTGTTCCCATAGCAGCAACCATGAGTATCCTATGTCTTTTGGTAGATCCCCGCACCTCATCAGCCATTGGTAATTTGGTATAGCTCCCCATGCTAATAGTTTTAATTGTACTTATTGCACGCATGAGACGTTTGATCCCAATGCCAATTTGTTTACTTTTGTTCTGTTTAATTTGTAGTTCCTTGTTTGCGAAGAGCAGCATCAGTGGAGGAGGAATATGAAGCGGCTGGAGGTGAAGTTCTTATTGAAAGCGAGGATAATGATGGTTGGCTAGCAACACACGGAAAACCCAAAGGTATTTCATATACTACTTTTTGGTGATATAAATACCTAATCAGGACTAGAACATGTTTCATATACCAAAATAAAACCTTCAATGTTTTATACCAAAATAATACTTATGTCAAATTGTTTCAATACATAATGCCAAAAACATTGTGAAATGCCAACACACTGCCAAATTGTGGTGTTGTACAGTGCCAACGCTCTTATATAGGGGATAAAAACATAGGAAGTCTTATTTTGGTACAAGTTTCTTGTTTTAGTCTTATTTAATTAGATTTTCTTTATTATGGATTGCCTCCCGTTTTAATCAAGTTTGATGTTGTCTTGTGTACGTAATAGAGAACAAAACTGATGAAGACGACAATGTTCCCTCAATAGAGACTTTAGTGATAAGTAAGGAAAACACAGTACAATCAATTTCGACATATTTTGGAGGTGATGAGGAGGAAGATATACCCGACATGGGAGAGTTCGAGGACACTGACAATCTTATTGAATCAGATCCCGTAAGAAGTTGTTATGTTCTCTTTCCATTTGATTTGAACTGTTATGACCAAAAAAGACTGTTCTCCTCTACTTGTAATTGCCTATCTCAACTATGGATGCTTCTTCATTCCTTCAACCAACCTACCAACCTATATGATTATTAACTTATATGGTCTATTGCAGGTCACACTTCATAATACTTACCTTGTCGCTAATGAGCCCGATGATGACAATATTTTGAGAACTCGGACGTATGATGTTAGCATCACGTAAGTCAAATTTATATGAATTTTTTGCATAATTACACTATTTGGATCAATATATAAGTTGCTGCACATTAGCTAGCTTTAGCATCCCTCAAGTCAAATTCACATGATTGTTGCACATTTCTTTCAACTCTGTGTTTTTTTGTACATTTTGCATAATTTCAGATATGACAAGTACTATCAAACGCCTCGTGTTTGGCTCACTGGGTATGATGAGGTGAGTTGCGACTTCTTTTGATGGTGGGATATGATATGTGAGTGATATAACAAGTACTGCTCTTGTGCATGATTCAATGTTTTATTTTTATGGCAACACACAAACATATTCTTTGATCCATCACAATAAGTACTCCTCTTGTGGCTCTCTCACTAAAAAAAGTCATGATTTAAAACTCATTTTCCCTTACCTATATCGAAAAAAGAAGCTAGTCGTCATTGCATTTAATGTAATTGTTTCCAAAAAAATCTAACAAACAAGTACATAAAATTTAGTTGAACAGACAAACACATCTTAAAACATTGGTGTAATTGATAATTTACTAAAGCTTTACCATATCAAAAAAAAGTTATTCCCTGATGGAATAAGAATTTTTTCATTCGAGTGAAGTGATAAATATAATACACATAATTGTTTTACTTGAAATTCAATCAGTTGGCACAATATGATGATTAACATTTTCTTTATATGGCAGTCTAGGATGCTACTAAAGCCAGAACTTGTACTTGAGGATGTCAGCCAAGACCATGCACGCAAAACAGTAAGACATATTTGCTATTTAGTTTTTGGTATGGTGGCATTTTTGTAAAGCTAGTCACACCAGCAAAAAAGAAAAAAAAACATGTGAATACTCCGTGATTTTTTATCAACTTAAATGATCAATGTGTGCCAAGCTTAAGATGCAAATGCACCAACAATCCCCCCCCCCCCCAAAAAAAAATAAAAAATAAAAATAAACTTGACTTGGTTGGGGTTTGGCTATTTGGGATCAAGATGTACATAACTCCAAAATAGATTTTTGATGCATTGTTGCATTTATTACCCAACACTTCATATAAAGTAAGAAGCAAAAGATGTTTAATATGCCTTTTGATTCAGTCCATTTTATCCATTCCTATTCAAAGCTAAAACATTTTGATAATAACTTTTTTCGATTTGCATTGAATATCATTCTTTAATTGTGAATGTTTTCTTTTTTGCTTATACTTCATTCCTTTTATTGTATAGTACATTGTTTTACTTGAGATGGTGGTAAACTCAGGTGACCATTGAAGACCATCCCCATTTGCCTGGGAAACATGCTTCCGTACATCCATGTCGTCATGGAGCTGTTATGAAGAAAATAATAGATGTCCTGATGTCAAGAGGAGTAGAACCTGAAGTTGACAAGTAATAACGTTTTATATTTATCATCCTGGCCATATGATTTCACAATTTCATTGGGTTTCTCATTTTTTAAAATCCGTGATGCCATAATAGAACACTTTCCTAATCACAGAGGAAGGACATATTTCTATGCCAAATTATCATACTGGTGCCAGATGTTTTATAACTTGTCATTTTCTCTCCAATCTGACATGCATTCTTTCACTAATCTTGGTGTTCATATGGGATATTTTAATATTAATATAAAGCGGTATACTTTCAGGTACCTCTTCTTATTCTTGAAATTTATGGCCTCTGTGATTCCAACAATTGAATATGATTACACCATGGACTTTGATCTTGGAAGCTCAAGTAGCTCTTGATTCGTAAGTAAATCTCCAGACTCTTTTTATGTTCCCCTTAAGAATGTCTACCGAGGTATCCTCTTAGAAACAACCTCTCTACTCTTTGGAGTAGAGCTAAGGTTTGCGCACATCTTGCCAAGTCATATAGTCATACCCCACTCTCAAGTGAGATATCGGCCCTATTTCATCAAACTTTTTTACCTGACTTAAGACTTTTACCAGACTTCATATTCCAATTTCCAATCTCGAGTTCATACACCGAACTCTAGGTAAATTTAAAGCGTAAAGTACCGGGTCATACTAGGCTTGGTTTCATTGTTTGTTTAGTTCTAATATAACATCCCAATTTATTTTCAGATCAATGTTGCGTATATTCCTTGAAGCTGGAGAAGCTGATTATGGTTCAATCCTCCATTAATCTACTGCCATGGGACAACTTTATTTGTGGTAAAAAGCATTCATAATTCTTGCTTCTAGAGGACATAGTTCGTAGTACAAGAATACTACTCCTTTTAATGTCTGTAAATTTAAATGGGTAGCTTGATGTTTTCTCATTAGTTCATTATCCCAAAAAGAATTTAAGAGTATTGCTTAGAGCAAAAGAAGAATGTATTTTACTTTTTTTACCTTCGCAAAATAGTGATTATACCTTCTAAAAAAGTACTCTATATATTCCAGGGGACATAGTTTGACCAAGAATACCATATCACTAGATTCCCAATGTTCATAAATTTCAATGGTCACCTCGAGGTTTTGTGTCTCTTCATTATATGTTTCTGATCCATTTCACATTTTTGTGTTTTTTGTTCATGCCAAAATAAATCTTGCATTTCCTTCATTCCTTTTTAGTGAAAGGCCGGAATGTGTGGGTTTTGATATTTCTCTTTGTAGATCTCTTTTTAACTACATATGGTAAATGGGAAAATTGCTTTTAACATACCCTAAAGGTCTTTGACTACATTTGGTTTGCATATCACTAAAGGTAAATCAATGAAATTGATCTTGTTGTTGACTTTTCCTGTTTTTTCTACATGAAAAATACTCCGTGTAAAACTATTTACCGCGATATGGCTACTCCGTAGAATATTGGGACGAGGTCTAATTTACCTTGTTCTAAAAAGTGATTAAATAAATACTCCCTTAAAAATGGCCTAGTTTGATTTTTATGATAACTTTGACTATAGATTAAATATAATTTAAAATAAATAAAATTTATAGAGATATGATGTATCAAAACTCAAAAGTATGTCTTAAATAAACTCATTTATATTTAATTAACAATATAATTAACTATACTTTTATATTTAAACTCAAAAGTTGGAACAAGCAAAAGTGAAATGCCTAACTTGGTAATAAGAAAATCCAAACGTGATTTCCCCAACGCCTTATATGTACATTTGCAAGCTGGTGTGTAGTAGGAACATGATGCGTGTGAATCACACTGCGAATAAGCCCATCACAAACAAAAGTGACAGACGCTTTCAATATTTTCGTGCACTCGTGGAAAAACAGATTGGCTGCAATGTAGAGTGTTGTAGTACTATCACAGTAGATAGTAATGAGACTGTCGTGCAAGATCCCAAGAGAGCGCAAGAGATCTTTTAACCATTTTAACTAACAAGTAACAACAACAAGGTCCTGATACTCAGCCTCAGCAGATGAACGAGCAACCGTTCGTTATTTGTTTCTTTGTCTTCTAAGAGACAAGTGAATTTTCAAGTTGAACAAACCATCCAGTCAAAGAATGCCTTGTAAGAGGACACACAACTCAATCAGAATCACACCACCAGTAAGTCATAAATTGGTGTCTGCGGAGAGGAGAATATCATGACCTGGACACCCCTTCAAATATTAAACAAATCTTAGGCACTAGTCCATTGGTTTCCTCGTGGTTCCTTCAAAAATTTTGCACAACATAAGACAATTCTTGTTGAGTGACAGAAAAATAAATCAGAAGTCTTACTAGACGTTAATAAGGTTCTAGATTAGCAAGAATCAGGGCTTGGGAACGAGTCAACCGATGATTGGGCTCCATTTGTGCGCCTAACAGCTTAGCACCCAGTAGATCGGCCTTAGTGATGATATCTAAGACGTACTTTCATTGACAAATGAAGATCCCAGATGCACTTCAAGCTACCTTAATGCCAAGAGAAAATTTTAGAGTTCCCAAGCCCTTCATATGAAAACAATCAGTCAAATATATATTTAATTTTGAATTTGGCTATCATCTCCGCATTATCTCTAGCAATGACCATATCATCAACATAAATTAGAACATGAAGCACTCCCTTTTTCCCAGCAAAAGAGAATAAGGAGTATCAGAGATGGATTGAACAAACCCATAACGTCTCAATGCTCTAGACAGTCATTTAGCAAACCAATATCGTGTTGCTTGTTTATATCCATACAGAGATTTTTTGAATTTGTACATCATATCAGAAGAGTTTGAGAAACCTGGTGGCAAGCACATATAGACCTCATCTTGAAGATGTCCATGTAAAAATGTATTTGGGGTAAAAAAGAAAATATAGTTCTTGCTTCTGGGGGACATAGTTTGAACAAAAAAACCATATCACTAGATCCCCAATGTTTGTAAATGTCAATGGTTAGCTCGATGTTTCGTGTCTCTTCATTATATGTTTCTGATGGAATGTGTGGTTTTTGATAATTCTCTTTGTAAATTTCTTCTTAACTGCATATAATAGATAATAAATATTCATTTTTTACTTTTTAGTACTCCGAAATTTTTATAATGTCCTTGAAATGAAGTCAAAGTGGGAAGGTAAAAGGGGGAAATTAGTTTTAACATAGTCCGTGTCTTTGACTACATTTGGTTTGCATATCACTAAGGGTGTATTTGGTGAGCAAACAGAGTATGAGTTTTGACATCTCCGGATATCAAATTCTTTTTCTGATGTTTGGTGAAGGCAAAAGCGATATCGAATTCGATATGTCCAGGTATCATAAATCTTCAAAATGGAGGGTTTGATACCTCTTGATTTTGGGAGATATAAATATGAGAATTTCATATCTCTTTCAAGCGTTGATCATTCTCCGATCTCCAATGTAACCGACTACCATTGTTACCACTAACCACACTCGTTGTCGGTCATCCCCGTTTATCACTAATTAAATCATGATTTAAAATCTTTCCAAATAAATTCGGTTCAAATTTCAAAACCCATATCATTTATCTGAGATTTCATAACTCATATTTTATCATATTTCCAAAATTCACCAAATTGACCTAAATGTAAATCAATGAAATAATCCGGAATCTTGCTGTTAACTTTTCATGTTTTTTCTACATACTCCCTCCGTCTCGGAGAATTCGTCCAGTTTTGACTTTTGGAACTGTTCATCTAAGCACTTTGACTCATCAAATTCTCTCAATGTGTAAGCCTAAATATAATCATGTGTAATCTTATTTGATTTGTCTTAACATATAGATTATTAGTATATAATTTCTATAATTTTTTAATATACAAATTACAAGATAAAATGGATTTAAAAAGTGTATTGGATGGTGTGTAAAAATGAAAGTGGACAAATACTCTGGGACGGAGATAGTAATAAAATACTCCACAGTAAAACTACATACTTCGTACTTCGTAGTATATACCGCCAGCTACTCCATACAGGCATGGCTACTCCGTATGTAAAACTTTGAAATAGAGATTGTTTTATATATCATTATTCCGAAACTCTAACAATAAATCCCCTTTAGCCTAGTTGGCTGTGCTCACTCATCTTCTGCCACATTTCTCCAGTTCGATTCCCGATCTCGTCTTTTTTTTCCCCTTTCTTCCTCGTTCCATCTTCAACCATTTCACCTTTGCAGGTAGTTTTTCAGCCACAATCCCATTCATTTTGGTCAGAATCTTACGTACATGCGAAGGATTCCATGGATCCAAACTTGCCCCCTGTTCGGCCATTAACGGGAAGGAAGGTCCGAACGACCTCTGAAATTCATCGAATCCGCCCTTCTATTCCACTCTTATATGCAAATCCTTCATTTGTTTTGCTGAAATTTGAGTTAATCTTAAAGCTAATCTCCATTAATGAGTGAAGTGATTTTTCTGCAGTTCAGATTTGTTCCGAAGCCTCCACCTCGCAGAGCTGTGCAGCAGCTGAACACGTAAGCTCTCCATTTCCTTTGCTCTCATTGTGTTTCATTGTTTTTTTTGATGATGATGATGATGATGATGAATTCCAATTTCCGATTTGAAAAATGTAGAGATGCTAGCCGGGATGCGGCGGCGGCGGAAGCTGCTGCTGCTGATGAACCTCCTCCCGACGATCGTCTTCTCCGCCGGTTCAATGTAAGCTGCAAATCGCATCTCTCCGAGTCAACTTTTTCTCTCTTCCTTTTTTTTCCCACTTCATTAATTCTGCTGCTCTTGATGAATCATGATAATTTTATGGTAAAGTTTTTCATAATAACAAAAGACCACCCAATTTTACTACGGTGACTTTATTTAATTCTTATGAGATTCTAATGGCTTTTTTTTTTTGAAAAACTAATAGCTTTATTGTTATTGATATTTTTTTGTACCAAAATAAAAATTTTGACTTTTTTTTTCGTGATCTTTAATTAAAATTGTTTGATTGAAATTTATGAGAAAGACAAGTTTGTCTTGAAATAATCATTTCAATTTAAAGAAAGTTTTGAAAAAATAAAAATGGATACTTAAAATTTGATTAAAAGAAAGTGAAACATTGTTCATCACATTTTCTTTATTTTAGTAGGAAATTAAAAAATGAGACCATTGTTTTGGAATATATTAAAAAAAGTTATGTTATTTTTGTCATTAGATCTACATGTAAAATGTGAATCTTCATATGTATTTATATTTGAATTATAGGTAGATCTTAAATTTTACAAGGTCCATCACATAAAATTATTTTATGTATGAATGTTCATAAAATAAGTACGAATCTAGAGCCCATAAAAAATTGTCTAAAAAAATGACCATTTCGAAACAAAAAATAAATAAATTATGGAACTATATTTTGAGATGGTGGGAGACCATATTTCGATTGACCACGGGCCCAATCCGGCCCATTATTAAATCCACTTTCCAATGATTAATATCCCACTGGGCTGTAAGTTCCCCTGCTGGATGGGGCCATGAGTGTTGGACTGTTGGTGGAGCCAACATGGAAAGGTACGGAGTATTCAATTTGTTTATTTTTATAATAAGGTGCCAGAAAGGGCCTTTAGGTGTGTAAATTTGGGAGGAGGTGGGGGAGATGAAGAGGATGTTTGGGAGTGTTCTATTTTTTTTCTTTGAAAAAGTGATTATTTTTACCACAATCTAAAAGGGATATCTCAAAATGTTTTTTCCCAATCTACCATTCTTAGGAGTCCAAAATTTAGTGATCATTTCTTACAGTACTCTGTATTTAGTAAACATATTATGGTGTATTCTCTTTTCTAAATTTCCCGATAAATAGCATGAGAAATGTGTTTAAATAGGAGTGATAGGCCAATGACTTATTTGTCATTTCACCGTACTTCATTATAAATGATGTATTTTGAAAAAATGGACAATTAAATTCAAAAAGAAGGGTTAATGCTTAACCTTCATCTACCTCATGACTAGCCAAACATGTTATGAATCTAGTTTTACTACATATTTCGATTCCCTTTCTTCTCAACTAATCCTCACAGGAGCACATAAGCAGGCTGAACAATAGGAAATCTAGTGCCGGAAAGAAGGGTAATTTCATTCTCTATTGCATTCTTTGATTCAAGAAAATCATGCTTAAACTGTTATGTGTGCTTTTTTTTTTTACATTTGTGTAACTTTAGAGTGTATTAAATATGGCATCACTTCCTTGGCCATTTTTTACATCCAAACAATGCTTAATAATACATAAATATTCAATATTCTGCTTATCTCACCACCATATGGGATGGCTTCTAGCCAAGAATATTTCAGGAATCAATAATGTACTGCAATTGACCATTCAAATATCCCTATAGAGTGTCATTCTATAACTTTATTAACTTCCACATTTGGACTTGAGAATGATGCCTAGTTGACACACAGTTCTTGAATGATTTGAGCAATGCAAAAAAAAAAACTGTTTTATTTTACATTTCTGACTTACAGTTCTTGAATTTTTCAAACGATTCTCAGGAATCCAATTTGTAGAGTATCATGAACTGGCACCATCAGCTCCCACTAGGAAACATGAAAGCCTTGGAGATTTTGGTAATGACAACAAGGGCATTTTTGTGTATGATCAAACCGTGGAGAAGAAGAAAAAAGAGTACAGAGAGCCTTGGGTATGTAAGAAATCTCTATTCCTTCTATCATGTAAATGTGTACCTGCCCATTTTGACCGACATTGATGATGATGCCTTGGCAGGACTATGAGAATAGCTACTACCCCACCTCTCTCCCTCTAAGGAAGCCTTATTCTGGAGATCCAGGTATTATCAAGATGTGATTAAGTGGTGGTTTTATCTAGGTCATTGGCTCTGTTTGGCAACCCTTTTTCAGATTTTCATCGACATTTCTTCAAGTATTATAAATTCTCTAATTTTAATGTGCTAGCTGAGTCCGGTAATAGCTTTTTTTTTTGCCAAAGAGGCAAACACTAACTCTTGAACCCATGATCTCTTTGAAAAAAAACTAAAGTAAAAGTGGCTTTGTTTATCATCCTCTACCCGAAGGATAGATTCTATTAAACTGGTAATCAGAATGTCAAGTCCACATTGAACAACTGCAAATCCTTCATTTTATTAGTGATTTCTGTGAAAATGTGTATGGCTACATATGAAGCATGTCTTAGCCTTGATTATTCTGGTTGATAAGCTCTTGAAGAACTCAACAGTCCGAATATAATGGTCCATTTTAGCAAATTTCATAGCTTGCAACTAAAAATTTGACATTTTCAACACTGTAACACTTTTCAACCTCCATTTCATTTCCCATGCAATGTAGAGATTCTTGATGAAGCAGAATTTGGAGAGGCAGCTAGTAAGATAAAGCATGATGAGAACAAAAGAAATGCTTCTTCAGAGCTTGGTTTACTGGTAAAAGCACACAATTAGTAATCTTATATACTTCTCTGAAATGAGATCACAAATTAAGCAGTTCAAAATTTTAACACAGGACGAAGAACCCAAGCTTCTTTTTCTCCAGCTACATAACCACTTGCCCACACATAACCCTAAGGAAAAAGAGCCAGCTGAGGTTCCAATCAGTGCAAAGGGAAAAGAAAAAGTTGAGAGCTCGGCAGCTGTCCGAAGAAAGGGCCCAAAGAAGGGATTCAGTTTGGAAGAGTTGCCCACGGGTCACATGGGGAAGATTCTGGTTTACAAGAGCGGTGCAGTTAAGATGAAGCTGGGAGACATCCTCTATGATGTAAGTAGCATCCTTGTCTAGTCTTTTTGCCTCCATAATGTTCTTTTTGCCTTAGTTTGGGGAACATATTTGCCTGCAGGTAGTTCCAGGAACAGAGATTTCGTTTCCTCAAGATGTTGTCGCAATTGACAATGTTGAAAAGAGTTGTGCTGTGCTGGGAGGTGTGGGGGCCCACGCTGTCGCGGTTCCCGATATAGATTCACTCTTGGAGAACATGCCTACACACATTGATTGACATGCATACACGCACTACAGGTAGTACAAATTACAGGATTTAACATGGGAAAAAAAGACAACAAAAACCATGTGACCATTGCACGAGTTGAACATTGTGGTGGTGTAGAGTTGCACACTAATGAAAATTGACACTTGCTTGATGGTATCTAGAAACACTTCATGCGCATCGTCATATTTTATGGTGAGTCGATGATGATAATACACATAGTAGTGATAGTACTAGATTTAGCATTATCGTCGTTACAAAGTACTCTTTATGCTTCAGTGTTTAATTTCATCGTAAAGTATGATGTTGAACGGGGTAGATGGGCAAGACGGAAGAAGAACAAGAGTGGATGGCAATTAAAAGGGCAATTGTAAATATGCTCGGTAATGTGAATCAAACCAAATCATTTTGAAAAGAATTTTAGAATGTTACTTGAATTCATATCAAATCAAACCAAATCTGTTAAGTTCAAACTATATTTTATTGAAATCAGATAAAAATGCAAGAAAAGAGCTTTGTTCTTTCTTTTTTCCCCTTCTCTTCCTTTTTTTTCTTCCTTCAATTTCTTAGATTGATTTTTAATTCTTCAATTTCCTAAATTAGAAACCTAATTTTGATTTTTAATTCTTCAATTTCTCAGATTTGAAATCTAAATTTACACCATGTTTGGGTCAAAAAATTTGAAAGAGAAAATAAAAAAATAAAGTGGAAAACACTTTTTCTTATTTGGTTAGAGGAGAAAAGAAAGGAAAACTGGAAGACAAAGAAAATAAAAAAGGCAAAATATACTAAGTGGAGAGAAAACTAAATTCTTTTTATTTTGGTGAGAAAAATGAGAGAATCATTTTCTTTTCTTTTCCTTCCAAATTCCTTGAACCAAACCAAACATAATGTTAATGTTTAAATCTTGAATTTGTCAACTTTGAAGTCTTAATTTGATTGTTAATTGATCAATTTCTTAGATTCGAAACATAGAGTTTGATTTCTATGACACAACCCTAGATTTTTTTATATAATCAAATTCATCTTCCATTAAAAGCTGTGCAAAGTCATACTGAGAACATTCTTACGGAACGGATCAGAGGGGGTATAATAAACTACTCCGTATAACAAAGAAAAAAAAAACAAAAAATAAAAATATAGAACTCATCCAAGACGTAGAATAGGTAACTAACTCTAGCACCAAAATCAACAATTAGGATAGTGACATTGTTGCTAAAATGGTAAGTTTTTCCTTCCATTTCTGTCTCCAACATTGACCCTGCATTGAATGTTAAAAGATGCAGTCAGCTCCAAACTAAATAATGTAAAAATTGAGAATACATTTATTCCCCCTATCCATTATATTGGAGTTGCATTCTTTCTATTTGTCAAAAACCCAATGAATAATAATACACTCTCACTTGTCTCGACACTATAATGCCACAGTTTTGAAGGGTGAAACATAAAACATTACCACTATTAATGTTTTTTTAGTAGCTCCCAAACATACATCAGTGTAGTATCTATTCACTTTTAATCTCAACCTTTTTTTAAAACAGGGGTGGGGCTCTTTAAAAAAGCTCCCAACTAGTTTGGAACACATTTTTTTATTCTTCAAAAAAGGTCTTCTCAACAAAGTGAACTCTTTTTTAGGATGAAATCAAGTTTAGAAACATGACTTTAATGGGATGAAGAGTAATATTTTGAATAATGGGGTGTTTAAAACATGCATGACATTTTAGGATAGAGTTTATTATTTTGTGTTGATTATAAGGAATATGCAACCTTAATGTAAAGCTAATACTGTAACTTTACCCCCAAAAAATGTCATCCATGAACTGAACCTGGATGTGGTAGACTCATTCATTGCTTCTTCAATGCATTCATTCTATCCCGGAGATAGTACAGCTTTGCCCTTCTCACCTTCTTCTTGTCCACCACCTTTACTTCCTTTATATTGGGTGAGTATCTAAAATCCACAAAAATCATGCAACGATAAGACTTAGCTACGAACTTTACCAAGGTAGCTTTACATTAATCACGTAATAATTGCATTTACTAGCAGTTGATATAACAATACATATAATATTTTGAAAGACATAATAAAATTTTAGAAAGCAACCAAGAATCAAAGTCACAGATAGTACAAAGAACAAAAGCCACCAGTGGCAAAAACAAAGAACGTGTCACACACAAATTATGGAACATAAAACAAAGGGAGAAGCCGCAAAGAATTTGCAATTGCAAAAATCAAGACTGATAAAAGATATCATAATAAAAAAAGAAATTATACAAAAAAACACTGCTATGTGTAGGACTAAAAGTCATAGGGCACAAATAAAATAGAGGCGCAAGAGTCGTGTTATAAAAGTTGGAGTGCAGCCCTAAATTATACCAATCTTTTTGATAGTTGTAAGTGGTTCGCGATTCGTGCATTATATCACATCAAGTTTTAGCGCATCACAGATCGTGCTAGGGCCTTTTTCACAACTATGCCTCAAACAGGCTGAATGTTGTCCGCACCATACTGATTCGAGTAAAAGAGGCTAATTTTGTTGTATTTAATATTTTTATACAAGAAAGTGCATCAAACAAGTTGAGGGTGTCAATTTTAGTTAAACAAATAAATTTTGAAACATAACAATATTTAATGATTTTGCATAGCTGTACGTTTGTACCTTACTAAAATTTTAGATGTTAAACATTTGTAACAAGATTTTTTTTATTAAACAGGGGGGATAATTATTTTAAAACAATAACAAACACACCTAGCTTCTAGGTGGTCCAACCACCATCTAGTGATTTTTGCAGCATTGGAACAAATGGGGTGCTAGTTTTATGCTCCCTCTGTCTGGAATTAGTTGTCCACTTTCTAAAACTCTCAAATTTAAGAAATGAGTTTAAAATGTCAAATGGGTCCTTCAAATGAGTTTGTCACTCATTCATGCCAACAATGCTTGTATCTCATCTCTAGGATAGTTTACACAATTCATTACAATTTCTCTATTGAATATAGAAAGCGGATAACCAAATCCGGACAAATGAAAACTAGAAAGTGGACAACTAAATCCGGATGGAGGGGGTATTATACAAGTAAAACACCAAATGGTAATTACTGTGGTGTCAGCATATTCTTCTTTTTCAACTTTAAACTTTAAAGAAATAAAAATAAAAAGATTCAAGTCGGTACCACTTACAGATGAAAGAGGGATTCAACACCAACCCCTGCCACAAGCCTTCTTAATCTGAATGTTGTATTCAACCCAGCATTTCTTCTGGCTATCACTATTCCTTTTATAATTGAAACACGTCTCTTGTTTTCAGGTACTTCCTGATATACAAGCATGAACAATAGCAAGTTATTTGGCAAGAGCAACTAGGAGACTAAGACCATCTAACACAAAATTCAAAAATAAAAAAAAGATGACATTCAGAAAAATATACTATGGCAAGCAATAAAGAGCAGGAAAAAAAACAAGCAATACATACTACTTTGAGCTGCAAAATATAGCCAGGTCGTATATCAAGTATCTCTCTCTGTGTCTTCACTTCTTCAACTGCCTCTTTATCGAGAATCTGCAATGGCAAGGATTAAAAATATCCGCAAACACACAGATTACTATCAATAATCCACACCACATGATCGGATGAAATATCTCGTACCTGCATTATGTGCTTTGCAGTCTTATCTAGCCTCTTAAATTTAATACGTGGAGTTACCAGAGAGTTAGAAGCTGAAGCATCTTGAGAAACAGTATCCACTGAAGACCCAATGGTGGCAATAAATCTTCTTTGAAAAATATGACCAGATGGGGAAAGTTGTGACAAGTGGGAACTACAACCCTTATGATATGATGTCACTGATGCAATGCCATTTTCCTTTGAATGTAAAAGAGGCTCTTCTTTAGTTCCAATGTTATGCTAACAATGTAGCCAGTTTAAACATAATAATTCCCACCCAAGACTACATCACATACAGCATTTTATACTCCTGATAGATACAGCTCAAATATTACCTAGCATCTATGAACCACAAAATTACTGCTTGGGCAGCATTTTACACTTCCAAAACTTGAAAGCTTGGAATCTTCATGCAAATGTCTTCATGCTATTTTCTCGACTTAAACCTTATTTTGATATATATATATATATATATATATATATATATATATATATATATATATATATATATATATATATATATATATATATATATATATATATATATATATATATATATATATATATATATCAAAATAAGGTTTAAGTCGAGAAAATAGCATGAAGNGAGTATATACTCCCAAACTTTTGATATGTATTATTATTTATATTCAGCTATTTTATTTTATGAAATGCAAAATATGGCTTCACCCTATAAATTTATTAGTTTTTCACTCTAGAGAGGCCATAATTGGATTGATTGCAATCTAGCTTAGGGAACTGTACATGCTTAAGGGCAATAACTAGGATGCAAAAAGGACAATTATGAAACTTAGGGACTAAAATCACTCTCTTCCATACTACATACAGTATTCTTTTGGTTGGTACACCTTATATGTAAATATTAAATACTATAGAGTTCAAACTAGGAAGTGTTATCCCATCATCCTTTAAACAAGACATGGAAAACACCACGGGCATGGGATAAAAATAGGAAGAACAATTCTCAGGCAAGACATTCCACAGGCAAAAAAAAATCAATTGGTTAAGAGAAAAAAAGAAATGGTATATGCCGTTACAAAGACTTACATAGTATGCAATCCCCTTCCTTCTGTCAACATTTCCTGCTCAGCATAAATTAAAATGGAGAATCAGAAAACAGAAATGAATCGCGATCCTTTAAATAGATTGCGTTAATGGAGTAAAGAGAATGAAACCTGAGGAAGTAGAGAAACGAGGAGATGATAATCCAAGAGATGAGTGCAATGCTGCTGTAGCTGGACGAGTAGGAGTAGAGACAGCAGAGAAAAATCTTCTCAACATCTTTCAGTCTCTTATAATGCCTGGGTCAATTGGAAGTCTGCCACAGCTCTAGTGCAAAGGTACTGCATAATTGAGAAAATTGGTTTAGTACTTCAAATATCTAGGCCCTGTTTGGTATTCGGATGATTTTGTTCATACATGTTAAGGGCGTGAGGTGCAAGCATGCACAAAGGGGCCTTGGATTAAATCTAAACTTGGCAAAGCATACCCAATACCAATTACCCGAACCAAATAACCTAAAACTCTGAAATGAACCAAAAGCTAAAGATCCCATCTATAACTGAAAACTCAAATGGCCCGAAAAGGACTAGAACCGAACTTAATGTATTCAAACCTGAATTAGATATGATTCCAATCAGACCCAAAAATGATAAGACCCGAAACCGATCAAACCCAAAACTAAATCAAATCGTGACTCTTAGTATGGACTATGGAGTAATAAATAAACTACAAGCCACCTTTGGCCAAAGTTCAAAAAATGTAAATTTAAAATAAAAAGCATTCATAATACTAAAATTAAAAAAATTTGAATGAAAGCATTCACAGCAACGCCCAAATAAATTCAAACTTTCAAACTTTTTAGCTATATATCCATCATTTTCATAGAAATCAAATTTCTAGCCATTCGTTTTAGATGAAACAAATATGGAATGGAAAAACGCAGAGATAAATAAATACAAGTAGAAAAGAAAAAGTTCCCTTAAATTAGTTCGCTAATGGCATCTACAAGCTGAGTTCCCCCAAAGGCCAAATGTGATGCTAAGTTTCCCAAAAGTGCGTAATTGGTTCGTGAATCAAATAATGGACAAATGTGATGCAGAGTTTCCTCACAATTCCATTAATTAAAATAATTAATTAATTAACAAACTGACAGTTTAATTCTGAAATAATAAGCATTGAAATACGTGGTCTGAAATAGAAGAATTGAAAAACAAACAATGAATCAATGTGAAGAACCCCAGAACTGAAATGTTAGGGTCTGAAATCGAAAGAAATGTCCGGAAAACCAACCGATTTGATTTGAAGCTGATGGATCAATTAGAAGTTGATAAATCAATTTGATGCTGCCGAATCAATATAGGCTCTGAAGTCCAATTGAAATGCTGATTGCTCGTTGGGGTATGTTTGGTTGGAAGGGAGGGAGAGGGGAAGGAATGGATGGGACTAATGGGAGGGAAGGGAAGGATCCCATTACCTTGTTTGATTGGGAGGTGAGGATATGTTTTTTTTTTCGATCTTTTATTTATATTTGTCATTTTTAAATTAATTTTATCATCTATTATAAAAATACTATGATCAGTTTTTTTTATTTTATTCTTTCACTTTATTTTTTATAATTTTAATTTTTATTATTTATCCTACATTATAATTTTTTATTTCCTTATTTAACTTATATTTTTAAATGTAATTACATTTATGTGTGTGTGTATACATGTATGTATGTATGTAGATATGTAGGTATATGTATGTATGTATGTGTGTATGTGTGTGTGTACACACATATGTATGTATGTATGTGTGTATGTATGTACTATTTTATCTAATATTTGTTATTACAATTTTTCATTATGAATTGATTGATTGATTTTATTATTATAATAATTATTTATTATGTTTATTATTATCAATTTTTTACTTTTTATTTTATAATGTTTTTAGTTATGTTATTATTTTTTATGAGTTCTTTTATTATATTAATATTTTTAGTTTTATTTTTTATATTTAAATTTGTTATTATTATTACTTTAATTATCATTTATTATTTTATTTATTTACTTACTTTATTATTTTATTGTTTTTTATTGTTATTTTTTTATTTTATAATAATTTTATTTATTTTCTAATTATTTACTAAAGTGCTTATTTATTTTGGCGTTATTTATTACGGAGTAAGTTTTACCACTTTTTATTTATTTATTTTAATTTTATTTTTTTATTTTTTTATTTTTTATTGATAAGAAGAAAAAAATTGACGGAAAAAGAAGAGAAGGACAAGAGGGATGGAGATTCAATCCAATTCGGAAGGATTGATTTGGAGGGGGAGGGGACTGAACAGGGAATTGAAGCTAAAATTTTGGGTATCCTTCCTTCCATGTTTTCTCTCCCCTTCCCTCCAACCAAACAGACCCTTAGCATATTTTAAAGATCATATACGGGTAGTGCAAGTTTTAACGTTTTTAAAATTAATTTAAAATATTTAAATTTTATCCAAAACAATAATGTTAATCTTTCATTTCCAAACGGGCCCTAGATTTGAAGCTGGAGAACATCAAAATATATAAATGGTGCTTTAAAATATGAGATCTAATGATCATAAAAATATGATAAATAAGGAAAAATGAGAAAAATCGTGGTGGCTTTTTGTAACTAAATCGAACAGAGTAATGCTAGAGTCATAAACAAAAAATCACAAAATTCACAATCTATCAACATCCTCCATGTACTCTACTAGGTTGGCGAAAGCCTTGTTACGAACTATTGACCGAAGAGCCTTACTACCAGAGCTAGAAGAAGAGCTCAACTCCTACTAGAAGTTGATGAAGGTGATTCGCCTCAACTACGGGATGAACACTGGGTAGAGCTCCTCTTCTATATCGACATCTTCCTCATATGTAGTTTCTATATCGCCTATTCTTGATCCCCGAGAGGCTATAAATAAGATATATCGACTCAACATTCGATATGAAATTGAATGTAAATCATGAGTAGATTTCAAATCATTCCTTTTTAAAACTATTGATCAATTAAATAAAAAAACATAGAAATAAAAACAAAACCAGAAAAATGAAAAAGAAGTGAAAAAAGATTTGCAAAATTAAAAATATACCGTCGGGGTAGTGAAAATGCAAAAAAAAAAAGAATGTAAAAGAATATAAAATGTTTTTTGAGATTTTTTATTTCCTCAACATAATTAAATTAGATTACTATTAGTACTTGATTTTTAAAAAATACGGAGTATATTTCTTTCATTTTTTATATGAGTTTTCATTTTTTTTCTTTCCTATTTTTTTTTAAAGTTTTACTCGTAGAATGTTTCGTTTTTATATTTGTCCAGATGGGTTCAGTCATCAGTTCGGTGGAAGAATTAAAGCAAAGAAACGAACACTCTATAGTAGAAAGAAAAACTAGAGATAGCTAGAAATGGAAAGAAAAAGTCGAGCATTTTTAGAAAATAATAATATTACATCCAATAAAAAGGCTACATTCAATAATTAACCACCATTTTACCACAAAGCTGGTTAGCCAGAATTTTACCACGAGAAGATTTGCCAGTGACAGAAATTTTGGTGAGTGAAAAGTGCAGAAAATGAAAGAAACAAGCAAGCATCAAAGAATAGGCGAACCAGCTTCCTCTCCATCTGAAGACGGATACTCTTCTAACTCCCTTTGAAACATTGCCTCAAAAGCACGAGCCTCTCCATATATCTTTTTGTCGTTGGGAATCAATTCCTACAAATATACAAACAAATAGATAACACTCGCTATAAACCATCTGTTTTATCGTTCTAAAGAGTTCGTCTCATACTAAAATGATGCACACACCTAATCAGAAATACTACCAAGTCTCCGTGGAGTTTGTGTGGAGTCCCCTCCCAACAACCACAAGAGGTATATATATATATATATATATATATATATATATATATATCTCACATGGGTAAAGATGACTGACTATACAGATAAAATAATAACGTATTCCATAACTGTCTGTACCTCCATCGCATCCTTAGAGTCTTTAGTCACTTCATATGTTTCACCAACAATATTAATAACAACCTCTTTAGCTGAGTGTGTTTGCAAGTAAACAAATGCCTGACTTGATTTCCATATCTTCCCAAGGTTTGCACCGTCTTCACCAATGATATAATCAATAAACGACAGAGGGATTCGTTTGAACTCCAAAATCTGCACAGCGAGCAAAGTTTGGGTTTATCTACAAATTGCAAGGCAGCATTGCAGGAGAGAAAATATGGATTGTACAGTGTGTAATATCTCATCTACACCAATACCCAAGACCAAACACACAGAATGGAGACATGCACATCAGTTAGCCATTGCAAAGGCCCGAACTGTTATTTGGTGAATTTCGAAGGTAACTAAGAGATCAAGAGTTTATATGCCACAAACAAATCGTAAAGAACTTCTTCCATAAGGTGTATATAATGAATGGTATCCATAGCATATGTCTTTTAATAACTGATGGCATCTCAATAAACTAAATGAAGATGGGAAATAGCAATCGGAATTCTGTTGGAGGAGAGGGACACTAACCGCATACTCTTTTGGAGGTTTCATCATTGAAGATGATTTTCCATTCCCAGGAGCAGATATTTTGTGAGACGATGGACAAATGTAATTCTGTGCAGTTTCCATGTGCATCAAAAAACATGAATTACTATAAGCAATTGAATATAATCAACTATGCATAGATTGTTGCATTCAATCTTACTCCAGTTTTAAACTTGGACATCATTGAAGATGATTTTCCATTCCCAGGAGCAGATATTTCGTGATACGATGGACAAATGTAATTCTGTGCAGTTTCCATGTGCATCAAAAAACATGAATTACTATAAGCAATTGAATGTAATCAACTATGCATAGATTGTTGCATTCGATCTTACTCCAGTTTTAAACTTGGACATCATGCTCTCATCAACTCCAAACTCTCTCAAATCACGAAGAACTGATTTCATTCCATCACATATACGTGCAGGATTAGATACTTCCACATCAACAATCACATCACCAGGGAACAAAACTGACAGGCTATCTACATAGAGTATGTCAACAATTAAGAAAAGAAGATAACTGATAGTTAAAATAGTAACTGAAAAAGTTAATAATTACATGCCAAGCCAGCTAGTTACACACCGATTAGATAGATAGTAAGAGTCCACGGACGAGACTTGATTGAGTGGAGAATAATCAACTTTTTGGCATGTGCAGCTGGTACAAGTAGTCTTGTTAAGTACACCATGGAAGGAATGGTTTGCAAAAACAATCGGTGAATCTCTTCAAAAACATTAACAGCCTCATCGATGGACCGTTTAGAGTCCCATTTTGCTGATACCATAACCTATGCAATATGCCCAACAATTTTAGATAATATCCGCATAACCTGAACTCCAATAAGAAAAACATTCTTTCCATTTTATCTAGCAACAATTAATCTCGATGATATCAAGATTTAAAAAAACAATGGACCAACAGTTTGAGTTCATACATATCCATGATTAGATATTGGGATTGTCTGTGTGACATCCATAGCTTGAAGATTCACAGATCTGTGTAAAATCAACTGAAGATCAAGATCTGGAAGACAAGGGGGTGGGTGGGGATCAGAATGATAAACTTAAAGACAGAAACTCCAGCCCCAACAATTAGCAAAAGATCTTGATAATTCTTCAACATTCAGATCATGTGGGCTGCACCACCATAGGCAACCGTGACCACTGGAGTCATCAGTTCTGGCGCCAGAACCACCCTCGACAAAGCAGAAGAGAAAGAAGATAAGATCGTGTTTGACACTTACAAATCCAATCAGTGAGGTATCCCCTAGGTCAAAGTTACGGGTAATTCTATGCAATGCAAATCACTCTGTGAACACACCACTCTTGGTCTTTTTTTCCTTTAGAGATGAGTGTCTCAAACAAGGTGCAAGCAGATAAGTAGAAGATAGGTAGACAGCAAATCTCATCCTGATAGGGACTATAGTCTTCTATCAAACAAGTTGAGGTGGCCAAGTTGAAGTAGAAAGCTAAATGCAGAGCTTAAAGGTTGCAAGCACAAAAACAAACCCTTATGGAGGATTGACAAAGATATACGACAAGCTCAACAACTATGACACGATCTGAAGCTGCAGCTGCAATATGTGTCAGTGTGAAATCACTACTGCTCTTAAGAAGAAACGTGACATTATAAAGGTACATGATTAGATATGCGGAGGGACATGGGGTCTACACTCAAACATTTTCAGTGTTGATACATTGTCTCATTTGAACACAGTATGTTGAACATGCCATAAGGTAACTAACCTAAACAAAATCTGGTGGGTTTCACTGATTCCGTCAAAAGGAAAAAGAAAATGGTGGAGACCTTTAAGGAATTTAGTAGCCTAGCAAACACTGCAAGATCCAGAGACATAATGATGATAGATGTTACCATATTATTTAGGAAAAATTACCCAAAATAATCCCAACTTTACCCGGTCTTTCAAAAATAATCCCACCTTTCACTGTGATGCACAATAATCCCAACTTTATTGAAATTTGCCAGTTTTGGGTCGCCGTTAAGTTTCTAACGAAGGGTTAACGGAAATGCCCGTTTTAGGCAACAAAATGAAAGTTGGGATTATTTTTGATGAATTTTTGTTTTTTAATTTTTTTAAAAATTTTTATTTAAATTTTTTGAAATACTTTCAACCTCCATTTCTTTTTCTTTTTTAAAGATTATTCTTACCTTAGAAAAAAATAGATATAAAAAATAATGAAAATGAGAAAAATAACTAAAACCATACAAATTAATCAAATAAATAATGCAATCAATAGAAATTAAATAGAAAGTGGTAAGAAATAAAATAAATATATACGGAGTGGTGGGTTTTAACATTTTACACAGTATACGGAGTCTTAATGTACTACTTACGGAGTATTTTTTAAAAGAACAAGCCGTCCTATAAAGTTGGAATTATTGTAGATAATTTTTTCTAAAAAATAAGAAGTGATATGTTAATACTTTGTATGGTGCGTAAAATATTAAAACCCACCCGTATATTTTTATTTTACTTTTACCAATTTCAAGTTAGTTTCCATTGATTACCTTATTTATTTTATTATTTTTGTATCATTTTAGTTACATTTCTCATTTTTTCATTTTTTTATATCTATTATTTTTATTTTTTTAAACTAAGACTAATCTTTAAAAAAGGAAAAAGAAATGATGATGGAGGTAGAAAGTAATTTTAAAAATTTAAATGAAAAATTTAAAAAAAATAAAAAAAATGAAAATTCATCAAAAATAATCCCAACTTTCATTTTGTTGCCCAAAACAGGCATTTCCGTTAACCCTCGTTAGAAACTTAACGGCGACCCAAAACTCACAAATTTCAGTAAAGTTGGGATTATTATGCATTACAGTGAAAGGTGGGATTATTTTTGAAAGACCGGGTAAAGTTGGGATAATTTTGGGTAATTTTTCCTATTATTTATGGTGAATATTTACTATTTGACTTTAATTTGTGCTTCTGCTTTGAGTCTATTGGGAGCCAGGTCTCTTTGAAACAGCTTCTCTATTTTCGGGCGGGGGATCAAAACAATTAGATTTAAGACTGGAAAATGGAAATCCACTCCCATCCCAAGAAAATATATATCTTTCTAAATATGAGAAAATGAGTTTACTTTCAATTTAAAAGAAATTATCAAGATTACTGTAACATTATACACACACGCTAAAACTGAACAAGATTTTTATGATCAAAGTTTGACTAAAAACAGTACGCTTAGCAGAACATCAAGTACTGCCTAGCAAGTTTGGACCTCAAGGGTCAATACCACTCAATAACTCAAGACTCAAGAGTCAGCTAGCTTTTGCAATGAACTTACGAAGTAGTAATAATTTACAGAGACTAAAAATAGGTGTCATACACAGAGAGACCACTCATAAAAGTCAATCACTCTAACCCCACATCACCTTCCTCCCAATCCAATACCCAAGCGTAAAGCATTCAATGAAACAATAACAAAACATAGATATGTCGCAGAAAGATGTCAGATGGTAATTCAGACTTTACTTACAATTCCAACTCCATATTTAAAATAGAAGTCAACTTCCACATCTTTCCTATCAAAATGTGGCTTCAGGTAATGATTGTATTGATCAATGGCATCACCATCCACTGTGGGAATCAACATCCTAAAAACAGTAGACAATGCTCATGATAATCAACCAATAAACTGAATTAGTATTTCACATGCACAAGAAGTTTGAAATCGAATACATTTTACAAGGAACCCATTAGATACATGGATATATATATATATATATATATATATAGAGAGAGAGAGAGAGAGAGAGAGAGAGAGATTTTGACAACTTTTATTTAACGCAAAAATTTCATAATATTTCATAACAATTGGAAACCAATTCAAGCTTTTGTCTATTGACTTCTAAAATCAATGAATAAACATCGCAAAGTTTAGCATGAACACATCCAATTTCTATCTAATAGATATAATTCTACTAATCAAATTTTAACCACATGGTCCAAGTTATTGTTTTCTAATCAAATTCATACCATATATTTTTTACTTTAGCAAACTTTCCTTATAACTCCTTAAGTCATTCTGTAAAGAACCCAATGATTGAGAGAGTATATATTTAAGGTTACAGTTCTTTAGATATTCATATTGGGTGTCAAAATATGATTATGTGCCATTAAGGGGTCTTATGATGCTCTGTTGGAGGTGCTGCTTGCTTTGTGGGAGGGAGTTGTGTGGGGAGGCTCACCCCGAAATGCTACAAGGAAGGGAGATCCATGTCAATCAAAGGGGTTGAGGTAATTAAGGGGGTTCAGGTGCAATAAAGCACAGTAGGGCTACCAAATGGCCTTGGTGACGTAATATGAAATCAGAGCTTGTTGTTCAAGAATCCAAAAAATCTATACTCCGTAATACGGAGTACATACTTTTTTCTTAATCTCCGTGAAGTCATAAAATTTGAAATGAATTGTGTGTGTGTGTGTGTGTGTCAGGACTTTGAAGAGCAAGAAACTGTACTCCTTTTCCTTCAAACCTAAATTTTTGAGATTTGTAGGTCTAAATGTCTCATTCAATGCTAGGGAAAGAGAAAAAACAAAAATACTAAGGAGTGGAGCATTAGATTTGGCTACATTTCCAAATCTAATGCCCAAACCATCCCGGCCACTTCCATTCAGCGTAATATTTTCAAGATGAAGTTGTATTTTGAACATGAGAGAATCAAAAGTGCAAAACCTATGGGATGAAGGCCTTAAGAGAGTAGTTTTTTTCAACGATGTACTTCTGTACAAAACTTGGAAACAACCTTTCTACTTTCGAGTAGGGGCAAGGTTTGCGCACACACACCCTCCCCAAACCCTACTCTTGTGGGTTCCATGTGGATTGATGTTGTAGTGCTTTTGTACAAAATAGAGCAAGTATTGGTGATCATGCTTCTTAGATTATATGATGGCACGTAAGAATACTTTCACAAATCATAGCCAAGGGCACTCATACTTGGTTTCATGCCATTGATTTCACCAATGGAATATCGACCCTTCGCAGCTTTTCTCTTTTTCGTAGGTAGACCCTGTGTATCCTCCACATTCAGTTCCGCTAACAATTTTCTTTTTTCGTGGGGTAGCACCTCGAATACATGTCGACGCTTCCGGGGTAGTAGCTCTCCGGGAGAATTTCCCTGCAATAATTTAATAAAGAACGATGAGGAACAAATTTCCCTGCAATAACTTACAGATAGAGAAGGATGCCACTGTGGAAGTCTTGAATAAACATAAACCCCCAACAATGAAATCACTACTAGTTGAAAGAAAATGGAAACTACATGAGAATAGGGTGTCCTTCCCTCAAGTATACCATGGTATGTTTCAGTAGATCAATAATAATTGCTTTCCACTTTTCCATATCACTAAAATTGGACTTTCAGCATTTAAATTCTAAGGAGCATTCAAAATAGGATTTACAATGGAGCCGAAGCGATAAAAAACGAAGCTGTCATACCTCAGATTTAGTTCGGCGGTGGCCTAGTTCAGAGTGATTCTTAACAGAGCCGTGCTGCCATGGCTGCGGTGCCCCCATGTCTTCTCTTTCAGATGGCTGAATCCGATTTCCAGACCAGGAAGAAAGTCGTATATATATAGGCTGAGTGTTATTTAATACTTTCCCTACACAAATAAACTTTAATTAAACTATTTTCAAATCATTTTATATAAAAAATGATGTAAAATTTAAAAATAAAAATTACATATTAAAAAATTATATGAAAATAGTATATACTCGTATTATTTTATCAAATGAGTGGCGAAAATATACCAAAAAATTAATAAAATTTGACCATGTGAATAATAAACGAGAAGTTTATTTGGGTACAGAAAATATAATAATAATAATAATAATAATAGAAATATTAATAATAATAGTAATAATAATAATATAAAAATAATAATAATAATAACAATAATAATAGAAATATTGATAATTAAGGCAATAATAGTCATTGTAATAATAATATTAATAACAATGATAACAATAATAATAGTGATCATAATAATAATAATAATAATAATAATAATACTAATAGTTATAGTTATAATACCAATAGTAATAATAATAGTAATAGTAATAATAATAATAATAGAAATAATAAGTTGTAAAAATAATTATAGTAATAGTAATAATAACAATAGTATTAATAAATATAACAATGGTAACAATGATACCCTTGGTTCACATGACATTAGGAATCAACATTATGGGATGACTCGAAGATTCGCTAGTGCCCCGTTCGAAAAATTAATGGTTCCTACCTCCCTAATCTCCTCAGGTAACCCCCAACCTTCAATTGCACCCCCCAAAGTTAATTGATTTTGGAGTCAAATTTTTACTCCAAACTCAAAATTTATTTCGGGGTGCAATTGAAGGGGGTGGGAGTGTGTTCGAGTCGGGACGAAGTATAGGATTTACCAGGGGTGTTAGAGTGGTAGGAATCAATTTTACAAACGATACACCATTGGATCCCTGGGTCATCCTTGACCTCATAATACAGTGTCACATTATTACAGTACAAACTTTTATTTTATTGATAAAGACATGAAGCTCATATTTTTGTTCTTTCTCTACGTTTTTACTCCTATTTAGGGCATCGATTTCCTTAACGTATATTGTTTTTTTGCGAATGAAATTATAAAAATATAATTAAAGTCTTTGGGTATTAGTTTTAGATATCACTGATTTACTGATAGTTCCCGTAACTTTACAAAACAATTATATATCTCAAATTTTTTCAAGTAAGGAAACAAAAAAATTTAAATACTCTCTCTGTCCCTACATAAACTTTTTTTTTTTAACTTTTTGAGAAATTAAGAAATATTTTGGTGTTATTTTCCAAAAAAAATACTAGGAGGAACGCCGAACGCAATACAGGGCTTCTAAATCAATCTGTGAGTTTTGATATAGGAATTCACAAGTAAAGAGAAATCAGCTGAGATGATAGAAGATATAGAGGAACCGCTGAATCGCAGTGAATTGGGTGACCGCCTTCCCGAATCCGTGGTATATATATATATATTTTCTTCTCCCTTCTATTGTTGTAAATACGTTTCTAGTTCTACTGTCTTGTGTCTTCTCTTTGCCGATTTCCACTTTTTATATGAACAAACTCCGGTGAATTGCGTGGAAAGAGATTTATTCCAGGAGGGGCTGAATGTTGATGCACAGGGTCCATCCCTCAAGAGAAAATCCCTCCTCGAGCTGAATGTTGCAAAATGCAATGAACTGACCCCAGGTATTTGGACAATTCAACAACTTAGTACAACGCTATTCCAAAGACATGCAAATCAGAGAGTTCCATGGTTTTTAGTATCTTTTGGAACCTCTATATGTACATGGAAATATAGCCGTGTGGAATATTTTTAGCTTCTACTTTTCCTTTCTTTTCCTCTCTAACCAAACAAGAAAACTTATTTCCCACTTAATTTTCTTTTCTTTTCCCTATCAAATTCGTTGAACCAAACATAGTGTTAATGACTTAATGTCTCTAATAAGTTCATTTTGCGGTAAAAAAAGGTTCATTTCTTTTATGAAGTATAAAACTTTGCAAACTTCAAATGTTCCTTTCATATCTGGGAGACACTAATTTAGTTTCTTTATTGGCGATCATGTAAAAATATCTAGCGTGGATACTCTTTAGGATGATGATTCCCACACCGAGTGTTGGTTGGGTTGATCGTTGCAATCGTAGGATAAAGCATTCTTACGGGCAGGAGAATGACTACAATGTTAAAGTTGATTTCTATGCAGCTGGAGGTGGATTTGGAATTGTAAGTTTAACCCGATTTACATCTGACTTCATTCTACGACATGTCCATGTTTCATTCTTGTCTTATTGAATTGTCTATTCTTGGGTCGTTATGACTATTGGAAATTACATCATTTGGCGAGGTAAACAAATTTGCATATCTGTGATATGTTTTCATGTTATGACCCCCCTTGATTGTGTGGCCATATTTCTTGAATTCTTACCAAATTTGTGGTCTGTGGCTCAAACCGGCTTTTGGCTCTTATCGTTAATGTTGACTGAGATCTTGATGGTCGACTCTTTCTGGCATGTCGGTAAAGAGGTCATTTTAATAAGTGCACTGATAATAAACTTGGTGAAAGCATACACACGTATGTATTTTTAAATATTTTTCCTTGAAAATGGAGCTAAAAGAGTCATTTCTGATCATGTTTTAGCCTTGAATCACATTTGAACTGGTAGAATTGTGCACCAACTTGAGCTCTTTTTGGGGTTATACTTGGATTGTTTCCTCATTTGCATAGTTGTTACGGCATTGCCTAGACATCCATTTAGAATTGTGTTTTAGTCATGGCTATTCGACTCACTATAATTCGCCTGAAGAAGCTTGTACATGATGATGCCTAACAAACTAGTAGTTCAAGATCAGAACGGAAAGTGGTAACTATTCACATATCTAAACTTGCCTAACGGACGACTAGCTTAAGACAAACCCAAGTCTGCTCAAAGGGTTGTCTCACTAGGCCTTCAGGCATTTTGTGATATAGCTTCATCCATTTTGTTGCACAAGGCATTCACACATATCTGATTTTTTATTCTTTATTTGGGCCTGTGATATACAGCAGTATGTATTTTTTTAAACAATCCAAACCCATAGGTTTTTTAAACTCTTTCAAATGTGCAGTATAATATTTAATTACTACTCCCTCCATCCCTAAATAAACTTCCCTTTTTGTCTTTTTGAGGATTTAAGGGAGGGATATTTTGGTGTTGACTTTCCAAAAATACCCTTGATGTGATGTGTAAAAGTAAGATGTGATATGTAGATTATTAGTAAAAAGGTATGATGTGATAGGTAGGGTATGAAAAAGTAAGGGGTAAAAGAGGTTTTTTAAGGGAAAAGAGAAGTTTATTTAGGGACGGAGGGAGTACAATACTAATCTATTTTGAATTTTAACCACTTTTTGTAATTTGAATATTACGAAGTACAGAGGACTATTTTTTTTAAAGTTAGAGTATGAGATTTTGCATACTTGAAATTTGATCAACTGAACTGTATTTGTATTTTTAGATTATTATTTTAAATGCTTTTATTTTTTAATGAAGAGTTCTATTTTGAATGGTTGTTTTTTAACTTATGTTTTAGATTTATTTGTGTTTGCTACATATTTGTTTCATATGGATATTAAATTTTGCAAAATTTGAACTTTGAACTTTATAAATTACAATATAGCATGGAATATATATTTATCAATGGACACAAATCCTCATTTATTACTTGTCGCCTAGGAGACTAGGCATCCCGGCGTTACACTAGCACCGTGACAACTATGCTTTTTGGCAGAAATTGTCCTTTGACCACTTCAGCAATCTTTGATTGTACTCCTCAGGCTTAAGCTTAATTTATGACACATCATTTTCTTTAGTGTATAACGGTCTATTGCCCGGTTTCAATCAAATTTCATGCCTAAGCTTCCCATCCCAAACATGGCATCATTCTGTTGGTGACCTTGCAGTGTTGTATTACACAGACTTATGTATGCTTCAAGCTATAAATGTACTACAAAAGTTCTTTATTGCATGGTTTTCTTTGTTCTGTCTTTATGGAGGAATTAGTAATCATGTACATGTATAAACTCAATCTTCTTTGATGATTTATTAGTTGAATTCTGTTACTGTTGTATATACTGAGTGGTAGAGGAAGTAGAATGAATATTTTTACTATCGGAGTTCAGGTTGTGTGTGATGTATTTTTGAACTCGTGCACAGGTTATGGTATCGGCCAAAAAAGACTCTAGGCGCTCCACAGTTCATGCTGTGGAGGTTTTTCGCGAGATTTACTATTTGTTCTATCCCGTGTTGCGTATTTTTGAGGGCAAACGCTTGATAAGGCTACTTGTACCGGCTGCACATACTAAAAGGTTGATTGCTCTCCATACAATCAGGTCTCCTTCTAGCAAACTTGCTATCTATATAACAGGTATGTAATTAACTGGTGTGTTATTTGTTTTTATGCTATTATTAACCGGTATGTAATAATCTGGTCTCTCACCTATTTTCGATATGGGGGATTGGAACTTGAATTAAGCAAAGTAGAATCATATGTTTGATATTGATGTTTAAATGTAAAAAAAATTAAGAACGAATGTAAGTCACTCAAATGATTGAATATGAACATGGTATGAGACAAAAACGTGGGTCAAATAAAAATTATGTCATAAAAATTAATTATGAGTTATCTCTTATTTCATAATTCATGGTTTAATCTTTCGCAGATAATGTTTCATTTTTATCCTCTGGTGATGTGATTGTTGAAGTGCAAGAGGATCAATCCATGGATGAGAATAAGATAATGGAATCAGTTTTTTCTGATCTGGGAGAGTTAACAGTTGATGAGAGCATGGTGTCTGAAATTAAAGCTACAGTAAGATTGATTAAAAATTTATAAATAATGGATTCATTTAAATGATGGGTTAAAGCATCATTCATGTTTGTTGATTTACACAAATACTGCACAGAATGGGATTCATCCATCAAAACATGTTATATCTGCATGTGGGAAAACACCTTCTGGGGTAAAAGTAAGAAGAGGTTTTGAGGTAAACGTGCACACCCACCCTCCGTCTCAAGTCCTGATTTCCTTTTTGCGTGCTTGCCTTTTGTTGTACATCAATGACCCACACTAAAATCTCTTATTCCCCTCCCTGCAAATGTATTCGCAAATGTTTCAGTGCTTAACCCAAAACTTGCTCATTTTGCAGGTCAAGGCATCCCAACTAATTCCCCTGTCTTACATTGATTATATCATTGGTAAAGATGGGTCTAATGTTGATAACATAAGGGAATCAAGCCCAGCTAGTGTTTTCATTAGAATTTCTACTCTAAAAGAGGTGACAATTAGTATTGTTGGTGAAACACGCCATGAGGTAGAGGTTGCTGCAACCGTTATGGAGGTGATGATTATTTGATCAAATGTGTATTTTTTTCTAATGCGTATATCACTAATTTAATAATTGAAAGGATTGGAATCATGATTAGCAACAAAGTTAAAATACCATGTAGGAACAAAATTATAGGTGCTTTAATTTTTGTTTTAAAATTTTTGCAGGATATGATTCCCAAACACCTCAAAAAAGATGGAAAGCCTGTTTTTGATGCACTGGTGTACTCATCTTCAGATGATGAGAGAGATGGTTGGCTTAATATTCCGGCCTTAGCTCCCAATAAGCAAGACACGATCCGGAGTTTGTATTATTTTGAGTCGCGCATTGGGGACGCCAATTAAGTTATTGTATAGTCTCGGTTAAACTCTTTACATGGTTGATGTACTTAACTCTTAATCTAGGTATTAAATTTATGTATAACACCTCTTCATGCTTTTTTACTTGGTTGAAGTACCTATGTTTATGTATCTTGTCAATCGTGGAAGATGTGATTATGTGAACCATGAGATTCAATTGAATTATCTATGTGTTAATAACTTTTGATTGCACACACAATAAATCCCTCCATCTCGCTATACTTCCTCTCTTTGGAAAAGATTTTCCTACTCTACCTTTTTTTCCGTCTGAAAATAATTTTCTTATTCTACTATTTAATATTTTATACTAATTCTTTCAAAAATACCCCTTCCGATAACCTCCTTTTCTTTTTCTTCTCTCGCTCTACACCGTTTCTCCTCTCTTCCTCTCTATCTTCTTCTTTCTCCTCTCTCCTCCTCTACCCATCTTCTCCACCTTCTCCCCTTCATCTTTGTTCTTCCTTATCTTCTCTTATTTCTATTCAATCTCTCTTCTAGATATGAGTATGGTAACGACGGTGGCGGCGGTGGTGGTGGTGATGGCGATGGTGGCGGCAAAGATGATGGTGAGTCTAGATTGCCATTTCTTTTTCTTCTTTTTTTCTTTCTCCTTTTCTTTTCATTTAGATCCGACTGCACCACGGTGGCAGCGATGGTGGGACTGGCCGACGGTGGTGGGGTGGCGGCAATGGTGAGGATGCGTCGATGGTAAGTCTAGATATGCTATCATCTTCTTCTTCATCTCACCATCCAACTTATTTCTCATCATCCCTCACCGAGATCTAATGGTGGGCTATGACGGCGATGGATGATGGTGGGACTGCTGCAGCTATGGTGGAGGGGGCTGGTGAAGACGTTGGTGAATGAATTGTTGGTGCGGCTGGCGGCGAAAAGGGGCTATGGTGGCGTCGGTGTGGGGGGCTGGTGATGGCGGGACTGGGAAAGGAAAGAGAGGAAGGGTATTTTAGATAAATTACACTCATAGTTAACTCTTCATAAAAATAAAAAAAATGTTAAAGTGAGAAGTTTATTGCGGATTATTATTCCAGGATTCATGGGGAAGTTCACCCAAGTTCGAGCCCCAGCGAAGGCAGCAGCATTGGCTCTTTGTGCGTCATTAGTCATTAGCTTGAGAATAGTATGAACAGATACAACCTTGTAATAGAGTCAATAGCATTCAAAAAAAAAATATGGACTCCTAAAGTGGAAAGTAAAATGTTGCACTCTACAATCAAATCAAATTTCATGCATGTATCATCAATTCAATGTACAACACCCCTTTCTCCACTACTCATTTTTTTATTATTTTCATTTATTCATTTTTTTTAAATTTCTTATCTTTTTTTGTGTGGACAAGGAGGGGGTGGAGAAGAAATGGAATACACATTTGGTGTATCTCTAACATTTTTCATTCATCTATGTATATGTTTTAGGAATTATACTCATTACGCACGCACACAATATGAATCTGGAACCACTGATACAAATAGAATGGAAAGTTAATAAAATTAAATCTATCGAAGAATAATTGAAAAGATTTAAATGATATTGTAAAAAATTGGGCCCTTCTCCTATCCCATTTGGCGGCTGGACCAGCCCACACCAGTAGGGTTATAATTTTAACTCTCACCTAAGAGACAGCCTCTCCTTCACACTTCATCCCTCGTTAGTCGAAGTTGCCTGTGAGTGTTTTTCCCTAGTTCATTAGTTTTTTTTAGTCAATCAATCTCAGTTGTGATTTTTAATGCTTTAGTATATTTTTGAGCCATGTTATTAATGTTTCAAAATGTTTAATTCGTTGTGTTTAATATGGAAAACTACTTTATTTGTTTATTTATTTTGCAAAAGCTTAAATTTTTAGAGCCAAATCATAGAAAATATCTACATATATGAGCTTTCTATAGATTGTGTTTTTTTAATGTTTCCGTATTTGGTTTTTCAGATCCTCAAAAGCATGAAGAATCCCAAAGAAATGAGTGTAAGCAACTACGGTTATTTATTATGTTGCGTTTCTCTTTAGTATGAATTTTTTCGGGTCATGTTTAGATTGCAGAGTGTTTCATTTAAGCATTCAAATGCAGAATGTCTTTTTAAAAATTATTTTTCTTGATGGAGCTTGGTGTAATTCTGTGAACCATGTTTAGAATTGCCTATATTCTCTGGGCTTACTCTATGCTGGGTTGGGGGAGCAACACTTCATGGTATCCCATTATTTAAAAAAAAATTACTCCGTACCACATAAGTTATTTGACTAGTGTTTTTCCTTTGAAATTGCATGAATGAAGTTGTGCACTGGTGCACATAATTATAATATGTTAATTGAAAAGGCATAATCGGTTCCGGACTTCCTGGTTTCATTGATTTTCAGTATATTCGATTACGGGTCTTATCGATTTCGATTATTATCGGTTTTGGGTCTAAGTCAGGCTTCGATATTTTTATTTGATTCTAGTTCAGTTTGGATCATTTCGGATATTCGATTAAAGATGAGATCTTTAGTTTTAGATCATTCCGGTTTCACTTTCATATCATTCAATCTAGGTTATTAGTCTCGGTTTTGTTTTGCCACTTTTTCAAGGTCTAACCAACCATCCTTGTAAATAGACCATGTCTTGTATGCCCAAATTAATATTACAATTGTTGCTCTCTCTCTCTCTCTCTCTCTCTCTCTTTTCGTTTTCTCTTTAGATCATAACTTACATACATGCTCCTAACTCTCAATCATTTTATGTTTGTGTTTTTGTGATTGTACCATAGATGCAAATTGACAACGTTGTCAGCGCTTTTAAGTTACACATTAATGCCTATTTTACTGAATATATGTTAAATTGCGTGCGGTTTGCAAACTAGTATTACAAACCACTGCAATTTGTGTTGGATGCTTAGGGTCTCAATGTCATGAAGTTGGATTTGTTGGTATATTGCTAATTTCTTAGGGCCTCTTATATATACAGTTGATTCATGTGTTCATTGTGCTAATATGATTGACATTTATTTGATAGCATGGCACGACAGCTTTTGGCTTCGTATACATGGATGCAGATGACATGGAGTTAAAGGTAATCATGGCGTCTGATGGTCAAATTGATGGTAAAGATTTCATAGGTAAAGTATCTTTTCCTTTTTTTAATTCAAAATCTGGCTATCTCTTCGACTAACAATTATTTATTCTCTTGCAGTTAGTGATAATTTCAAAAAGTATTACCAAGATGGTAATGTGGTAGTTATGATTGCTAGCAACGATCAAGATTGCAAGGGCGCTATACAGAACATTCTCAAGAAACATAAGGTAAAATGATTTGAGGTAAAAATTTCAAATAATTGAATGCCAATGTTTTTTATATTCGGCAAGATAGAAATTGGCAAAGACCAATTTATCACACATTATATTCCATTTTTTCTTACTGTAAATCATTTTGGCAGAATTCCCCAATTTTCTTAACAAAATTGTATTACCATAAAGTTGTGTATGGAGTAATGATTTTTGCTTTTTAAGTTGCTTTTGTAAGGCTTTCCTTCTAGTGGCTGATGAAATGAAGTGCTTTGGATTTCCAAAAAATTTGCGTAATCCCCCCATGACTTTCTTGATTTCTCATTTGTCTTTTATATTAATCGATAGATAGATGGATTTTTTATTTGGTGGGGTTTTCTTGACATTGGATTCCCATGTCAACTTATATTGTGGAGTGTAATTGAAGAGGGTGAAGGGGTTTAACAAGAAATTAAGATGGGAAAGAGTTAATTTTTTGAGCGGCACCGTAGGGCCTCCAATTGAGGCCCATGTCATAGGATGACATTTAAGTTCAACATCAATTGAACCTTGCGCTTTTCTATTCATATGGATCTCTCGCAAAATATGTGGATCTTGTCAAGGTAGTGAATTCTAGTTTTTTTGTCATGTGTATATTGTTTCTTAGAAAAGTGAGTTGGTAGTCGTTGTCATGTGACAATTGTGTATGGCTAGAAAAATTTCATTAGTTAGGTGAATGAAGTTGATAGTCAATAACATCAAATTAATTTAACATCACAGTTTTGGTGAAAAAATTGAGATAATTGCAAGTCCAAATTTCGTTGTGAGTGCTTTGTTTTCAGTGTTAGAGATGGAGATTGAAGGCAAGCCTTTATACCTAGATGGGCGTTTGAAATCTCCAGTGGCGCTGATGTCTTCAAAAGATTGAGCCATCGTAGAAGGGTAGCTAGCGGCACAAGGGCAATAATTGCCATAGAGTAGTTAGAGTATATATATCACAAAGTCAAACTATATATCTTATTCTGTTTATTTTTCGTATAACAAACTTTTTTTTAAACCTTGTAGCTTTTTGTACTTGTTTTATACTATGTATGAAAGTGTATTAATTTTTTGTTGCTGATTGAAAATAGGTTCTTCCGCAAAACTTTGTGGGTCTTGTTAATGTGTTCAGCGATGCGATGGAGCCTACTCGTTGTGCATCTTTTATCATAGGAGTTCTTGATTCAATTCGTCCGTATGTAATTGCAATGCATTCTATGCTTAAAATGGATCATACTACATCAGACATTGTGGGAGGAGCTGGATTGGGTTGTGACCACGCACTTATGGCCTTAGAGTATCGGTATGTATGTATTACTTTGTGTATATGATTTTGTTTATTTATTAGTAGAGTGAGGTGAGTGGTTTGTAGGTTATTAAGAAACAAATAGGCTATAAAATTAAAATGAAACCCTTGGCCATATATATGTTTATCACATTCCCATCTCTTGTTTATTCAAGTAGTTTGTCATCTCATTTGTCAAAAAGATATGAACTGTGTGGTTGAATGACTCTTAATATAATAGCTAGAAGTCTAGATTTACTAACTTTGTTCGTGAAAGTAGAGGGAGCATTTGGTCCAAAGTTTCTCATCTCTTTTGGCTTATCCTCTTTTGGGATCAAAGTGTACTTGCTACTATAAGCCAAGGAGATGAGAGTACGAAAATATAATTCTTTTACCAACAAAATATAGTATGTTACCATATAGTTGCCAATTAATATTTTTTTATTCACAATTTTTTTATTATGTTTCATCAATAATGTTGGATGGTAGTAGGTCGTCAAGGGCTGTCAAAAAATATGTGGTGCGTAAACAGCAGTTTGACTCAGATCCCACAAACCCCATGGAGGAGATACCAATTGTGAGTGCTTCTCAAGCACTCAAATGGGTGCACGAGGCAATGGTTTATGCGGCTCACCTTGATAACAACAAGATGGGTGGAAGTTTTTATGATGGTGATAATTGATTTGTTATTAATTCGCTTTTTATTTGTATGAAATGGTGTTTCAATAATTTGTTGTGTTTCTTTTGTATTTTGTAGTGTTTTGTGGAGAGCTAGTTGATGGGAGGGCATCTTGGGAGCACCAAAGGTTTGATTTTGAAGAAATGAAATGCTCTTTCCCAGAATGTTATTTTGATTATCTAGCATCAGATGGAGCCTGATAATTTGGAAGTGCAGAGTCAGAGTATTATGTACTACTCCTTCCGTCTCTAAATGTTTAGAGTTTATTTTTCCAAGCCATAGGTTGCTGCCGCAAGAGTAGTAATGCGTCCAAGTACGTCACTGATAGAGGAACTCCCAAGTAACAAAAATCTTTAAGATACAACAATACCACAAGCCTTGATATACAGAAATACCACAATCATGTTCACTTGAAGTCATATTAGAGATGATGATGACTGACAGGATGCTACAATTCACTCAAAATGGCTAATGTTCTGAAATTGCTACAGAACATGTTTTGTCAAAAAATAATACCAACAAAGGTTACAATATTAACAACGCATGAGAACTAACATTCTCTAGCGGACTCACTAAGTCTAAATGGGCACTTTGATTGGATTGCATGCTGTAAGAGTTTACCAAAAGTGCCACGACATCAAAGGGGTAGTTTCATTCTTTTAAATTGTTTGCTTCAAGGAGGTAGGGATCCTTTTTGTTCTAGTGAAAATGATGATGATGATGATGATGATGATGATGATGATGACAACCTATTTGTAAAATGATTTATATTGAAAATGTTATTTGGAAAGATTGTTCTTTGATAGAATTCAAACTGAGAGCCAAAAATACTAAACTTTAAATGGAGTCCTGAAAATACGAGTACATTCATTGGAAAAGTAGTATAAAGGTTACCAATATGTTTTTGTGTTCAAGAGACCATACACTTGAGGTCAAAACTGGATTACTCAAGGACAGAGGTAATTTATAATTGATGATAAATAATATGTAATTATACATACTTAAATTTAGAAAACTTAAATTTAAAACTCGGATTTTTTTGTCCAATTTTTATTTTAACACCCTTATCCGACCTCTACTAAAATTATTGATGTTTTTTAAGGGGAAAGTTAGGAGGAGAAGTCTCCCACAATTCCGGCTGAGCGAAAGCATGTCTAGCCAACATATGGGCAGCAAAGTTTGATTCTCTATGCGCTAAGTTAATTCTTGATGTAAATTAATATAGAGTTTACACTGGAAAAATTATAATTTGATTCTAATATACATTATACAGAGGCATCTAATATATAGTGAAATTTGCAGTAAATAACACTAAAGCATATGTTTTTTTCTCAATGTAGTACTTAAACTTTTTAATTTCCTAAATAATACTTGAATAATGTCTAATGGCATAAACAATGTTCAGAAATAGTGGACATTTAGTTTACACAATGTCTAGTGGCGATTGATATTTAACTTAACAATGACCAGTGAACATTAAACAATAGTACTAGATTGAGAAAAATAAAAATATATGATATTACATTGGAAAAATAACTACTCCGTATATTTTAGTATTATTTAGGTAAATTTTCCTAGTATATAGTTGACTTTCCCAAAATGCCATCCACCCCTCTTCACTTCTTTGGTCCCTACTCTTCCCTACCGTTCGATATGGCTCTATGCACTGGCCAGGAAATACGCACAAGCAATTGGATAGTACCGGATGAATTTCTTGATGCTCCACCGATACCTCCAATCGTCGAATCATCGCATCACTGCTCTGCCGTGTCACCTTCAACTGCAGCCTTGCTGCTCTGCCATCACCTGCCATCACCTCCGGCAACTGCTTCAATTTCAGAAAGAAAAATGAAGAAACTTGGGGTGCATAACCTTCAATTGCCGCCTTTTATTCCCTCATCAATACAGGATGTCGTCATCTCCATCTTCGTCCAAGATCTAGATTGGAGTCATCAGATTTGTAGAGATATGATGTCTCTTCATCAGATCTGTGTATAATGATGACAGTGCAAGGTGGAGGAAGAAGAGAAGAAAGAAAGAGAGAAAAAGAAGAAGAAGAGGACGAGGGAGAAGAAGAAAAGAAGAAGGAAGACGGATGGTTGCTGCCTTGGACTAGAAGAAGAAAAGGAGAAGAAAGAAGAAAAGAAGAAAAAGAAAGTTTGGGGGAAGGGTGGGTTGGTTGCTGCCCTGGACCGGAAGAAAGAAGAAAAGAATAAGGAGTGGGAGGGTAATAAAGTCTATTTATCATAAAAAAGTTTCAAAAAAATAAAATGGGAAGTCTATTTGTGGACGGACGGAAAAAAAATAAGAAGTATAATTGTAGACGGAGAGAGTATCTAAAACTCAAGGGCTGAGATTTGTTATATAAAATATACGCAGTACAATATTATACGTTTACATTTAAGTCTTTAAAATGTGTAAAACTGTGGTTTTGCCCACTACTTATATTATTGATATGCACTAAAGTAAAATAGTGAGCAATAAAAAGTGTAATTTGACTAATACAGAGTTAACAAAACGTGGAACATTCAAGTGTAAGAACACTTAATGAAGAAGCAAACATAGATAAAAAAAAGCTCTACCTTATACTAGGTGACAAGACTATTATTATATAGAATTAGTAACAAAAATAAAAAAAAGTAAATAAGAGTTGAAAATATAAATAAACAAAGAGACAAGACAAGATGGAAGCTTAAGAAAACTTTACAGTTTTCAGATTGCAATTAGTTTAGATTGACATCAAGACAGAAACTAATTTAGATCAAATCAAATTTTTTAACCCGTGATGCCTAACAATTAATAGTACTAGTAGTAATTAAGTACATCTAGCAATAAGTTCCCAAAATAATTAATAGCAATAACTACTTCTCTAGAGTAATACTCCGTAATATGTTTCACGGAAATGTAGGGGATAAATAAAATACAAAGTTCATAAGAAACATAAGGTCTTCCACAACTATACCTTCATAAGAACCATTGACCCAACATAACCAACATACATATCAAGAATGACTTGTTCCAGAAAGCTCTTCCGCTCTTTTAAAAGTAAATTAATAAATGGTCCTAACATTATTGTCCATCATATGATAGATTCCCACAAAACACTATAAAACAAAACATAAAAGCAAAAAACAAACTATTAAAAGCACACAACGCTCTATACAAATAAAAAATAACTTAATAAAAAAATAGTTATTACTAGCATATCCAATTTCCCCCGGTAAGGGTATCAAGTGCTCTTCCTCATTGATTTATCTACAGTATCGAATGCTTGTGAAGTACTCAAGACAAGTATCCGCTCAACTGGATTTAAGAGATCAAAGCTGAATCACTATTTTCGAACAACATGTTTTGGTGCATCCATTATCCTACCATCCAACTTTTTTATAAAACATAATAAAAATGTTGTAAACAAAAAAATAGTAATTAGTAAAATTTTGTTAACAGATAATATTTAGTTGAGAAGCTTTTTCTCAAAATTTCGTTTTTGGTACTTCAATCCCCTTTGCTTATGGCAAACTTTAGACCAATTGTTATAACCACCTTCACGATCAAAGTTAAATTTACACTTCTAGCTATTAGGCTAAGTGCCATTCAACCAAAGTTTAGGGGAGCGGTCTGGTTCTCATAAAGGAAAGGGCATAGAAGAATCAATCTTTTTGACTAATGAGAAGACACAATACTTGAATATTTAAAAAAATAAAAATGTGACCGTCAAGCTATATATGGACTAACGATTCTAATAGTTTTTCTAGAGATTATTTTCCAATGGCTATTTTGAAAGGCTTTCAGTCTCATTGCACTCTATTGATTTTTGGGATAACCTACAAACTGTCGACCCTTATGTTTTGATAATGACAAACATAATATGAGATTCTTGAAGTCAATGGTTGGCTTAACAAGCTGAGTCGGATATCAAGACAAGTCTTGTTGTTAATAAAGAGGATTCTAGATTTTTTCCTAAGTTTCGAGTCCTAGATTATTTGTTAAAGTGTATGACACGTTTTTACTTTCCAAAATCTTTTCTAAATGTTTTTGAGTTAGTAAATGGTTTTATCATGTTTATGTCTTTCTAAGTGATTCTAACCAATGTATTACTCACTCCCTCATATATCTTTCTTCCTGTTGCGCAAAACGAAAAAAAATCCCAAGTTTTTTAAATCTATTTTATTTAAATATTGATATAGAAATAAAAATAAAACATACATATTTAAAAATTACATCAAAAGTTCAACAAAACAAGTGGTGACAAGAATATTTTATTTTATCATATAAACCATGAAAAAACACAAATAAATATAATTCCCGTGAAGTTAGAATAGTGCTCTGGGAAGAAAGTGTTAGGACGGAGGAAGTATTTTTATTCGAATAAACTACTTCCACGGCAGCTAAGTGATTCACAGACTGATTTATTCGAATTAATATATGTTTAGTCGACTATGAGCAAAAATTTTCGGCTGGACTATTCGGCTAAATTATCTTTTGGTCGATTAAGTATTGGTTCTTCAGTGCAAGGTGGTTGTGCTGATTTAGTCAACTAAACTCTATTTAGTTGACTAAATCGTCATTTTTAATTGTCTAAATGTAGTTTTTTCAAATATTTTGGAAATTAACCAACCCTATCTTATATAACTACTTCTTTCTTCATTTTTTATTCAAGAATACCAAGAGAACATCTTTCTTAAGACATGCTTTGATTATTCCAAAAGAATCATTCAATTCTATCTTCCTCTTACTCACATATCAAGTTATTATTTATAATTTCTTTGACGCTTGAAGTCTAAAAAATTTTAGAATTTTAATGTGCCATACACTAGGATATATCGGTGTCACTATTTGCACTTTAATTTTAGCTTCAATCTTTAGCTATTTATTACTGCGTTGTGTGTGCTTTGCAAAAAAATAGACACTTCTAATCACCTCCCCTAGAGGTGTGTAAGGCGTCTAACACAAACTATCTACCTCACTCTACTAATTGATAGACGACATCCATATATACAAAGTAATACATACTGATTCAATAACATCTCTAACGCGTATTCAGCACCCGACCCTGCTCCTCCAATGATTTGCAATGTGTTCTCTTGTCTTCCCAACACATGTACATAAAGACGGATATGATCCAGAACCCCTATTACAAACGAAGCCTTACGACTAGGCCTGAAGCTCTCTTTGAATATGTTTATTAATCCCACAAAGTTTTGCGAAAAATTCTATTTTCAATCAATAACAAAATTAATACAACTTCATACATAATAATTCGTAGAAGTTGTACTAATTTTTTTATTGATTGAAAATAAAATTTTCCACAAAACTTTATGGGATTAATAAACGTGTTCAAAGAGAGCATCAGGCCTACTCGTAGGGCTTCGTTTGTAATAAGAGTTCTAGATCATATCTGTCCATTTTACATGTGTTGGGAAGACAAGAAAATACATCACAAATCATTGGAGGAACAGCGTCGGGTGCCGAATACGCGTTGGAGATGTTGTTGAATTAGTAAGTTTGACTTTGTATATATGAATGTCATCTATTAATTAATAGAGTGAGGTAGACAATTTGTGTTAGACGCCTTACACACTTCTAGAGGAGGTAAATAGAAGTGTTCACAAAATAAAGCCTTTTTTTGCAAGGCACACGAAACAAAACGCAGGAATAAATAGCTAAAAATTGAAGCAAAAATTTAAGTGCGAATAGTGACACCAACATATCCTGGTGTATGGCATTTTAAAACTCTAAAATTTTTCAAACTTCAAGCATTAAAAAAATTTCAAATAATAAATTTGAGTAAGAGGAAGATAAAATTAAATGATTTTTTTGAATAATCAAAGGATGTGTTAAGAAAGATGTTCTTGGAATACTTGAATGATTAAAACGAAGAAAGAAGTAGTTATATAAGATAGGATTGATTAACTTCTAAAATATTTGAAAAAATGACGGTTAGACAGTTAAAAATGTCAATTTAATCGGCTAAATAGAGTTTAGTCGACTAAATCAGCCAACCTTGCAATGAAGAACCAATACTTACTCGACTAAAAAATAATTTAGCCGAACAGGCACAAAATTTTTGCTCTTAATCGATTAAACATATACTTATTCGAATAAATCAGTCTGAATCACTTAGCTGCCCTGAAAGTAGTTTATTCAAATAAAAGATAATGCATTAGTTAAAAAACACTTAAAAAGACACAAATATTGATAAAATCGTTTTGAAACTAATTCAAAAATATTTAGAAAAGATTTTGGAAAGTAAAAACGTGTCATACACTTTAACAAATAATCATCTAGAATCTTCTTTATCAACAAGGCTTGTCTTGATGTCCAACACAATTTGTTAAGCCAACCATCAACTTCAAGAATACCATATTATGTTTGTCATTATTAAAACATAAGGGTCAATAGTTTGTAGGTTATTAAAAGCCAATAGACTGCAATGAGACTGAAAGCCTTTCAAAATAGCCATTTGAAAATATTCCCAAAAAAAACTATTAGAATTGTTAGTCCAGATATAACTTGACGGTCACATTTTCATCTCTCTTTTTTTAATATTCAAGTATTGTGTCTTCTCGTTAGTAAAAAAGATTGGCTTTTCTATGTCCTTTCGTTTATGAAAACTAGACCGCTCCCCTAACATTAACTTTAATTGCATGTCACTTAACTTAATAGCTAGAAGTGTAGATTTAACTTTGTTCCTGATGGCTATAACAATTGATCAAAAGCTTGCCATAAGCGAGGGGGATTGAAATACCAAAAATGAATTCTTGAGAAAAGTTTTTCAACAAAAATAATCTGTTAACAAAATTTTACCAATTACTAATTTTTGTTCACAACTATTTTATTATATTTTATAAAAACTGTTGGATGATAGGATAATAGATGCACCAAAACATGCTGTTCGAAAACATCAATTCGACTCTGATCTCTCAAATCCAGTTGAGCGGATACCTGTCTTGAGTACTTCACAAGCATTCGATTATGTAAATAAATCGATGAGCACTTGATACCTATACCAGAGAATTGGATATGATGGTAACAACTATTTTTTTATTAAATTGTTAGTTATTTGTATAGAGTGTTGTATTTTTAATAGTTTGTTTTTGCTTTCTTTTATGTTTTGTTTTGTAGTGTGTTGTGAGAAGCTCTCAGATCATGGGCAGGAATGTTGGAACCATTCATTAATTCACTTTTAAAAGAGCAGAAGAGCTTCCCGGAACAAATCATTCTTGATATGTATATTGGGTCAATGGTTCTGATGAAGGTATAGTTGTGGAAGACTTCATGTTTTTGATGAACTTTGTATTTCATTTACCCCCTACATTTCCTTGAAACATATTATTACTCTGGAAAAGTAGTCATTGTTATTAATTATTTTAGGAAACTTATTGCTAGATGTACTTAATTACTAATAGTACTATTAATTGTTAGGCATCACGCGTTAAAAAAATTGATTTGATATAAATTGGCTTCTGTCTTGATGTCAAGCTAAACTAATTGCAATCTGAAAACTGTAAAGTTTCTCTTATGCTTCCATCTTGTCTTGTCTCTTTGTTTATGTTTGGTGTAAAAAGATGGTTCTTTTTGTTTTTATTTTGAGAAAGTTAAGCAACTCACATGCCTCTTTTTCTCCTTCCTTGTTTCACATTATTTAAAAGGCACACACATTTGAACTTTTTTGTTTTTATTATCTATTTTCTATTTGATAAAAAATATAAGTATTACCTTCTTATTTAGATATCTATTAGACATTCACTATTAACTTTAAATAATAATAAAAATAATAGAATAAAAAATAGAAAATGTGAAATAATATATGCACCATAATATTAAAAACTAGATTGATAAATAAAAAACACAAGCTAAATACTTTTTAACTAAAAATATATATCTAATAATACAATATAAAATATTAGCATTTTAATTATAGTTTGACCGGTCGTTGACCCGCGGTTGACGGGTTCAACCCATTGACCCTTGACCTAGTTTCTCGTTCAGGTCGATGTCCGGTCCGATTTTGAGACCATTGCCAACAATGAAATAACTGATAAAGCAGAGGATTGTATTGTTGCCCTCAATTATATACTACTGTGGTAAAATACTTGAGAACTGACAATCAAACTAGGCTTTGAAGCATTTAATTTATAATCCTCTCTCGGGTGGAAATAAGAACAGTCAAGCTACATATGGAGCGTTCATAAATCAATCAAACGGCAGTGAAAATATGTGACACAAAATTGGTTTGAGGGGACGAATCCAACCCCTGTTGGTTCATCTCCCTCTGCGAGGATGATACAGGCGTGGGAAATTGACCAAAGCCCGCATCAGAGGAGGATGATATGATGACCCAAAACTGGCCGGAGCCGATAATAAGAGAAAAGAAAAGGGGAAGCGGTTATATACCTCAGATCCGGATCGACGATGGTGATTCTTAACTGCGGTTCCTCCATATCTTCTCTTCTCCGATTTCCAGGAAGCAGTGCGAATTATACTTGCAAGTCTCGAAGAAGAGGAAGAAGAGGTAGGGGGAGGGGGTGAATAGAGAGATTGAAGGGGTTAGTAGATCTGGCGGATAAGAGAGAAAGAAAAATAAACTTTGGGAAGGTAGGTGTGGTGGAGAAAAAACTGGGGAAGAAAGAAATGAAGTAAACGGGCAAATTATAGAAAAATGGTAAGGTTGGTGTACCTCACATATGTTCCCCACCTCCTTATCTATATGAATTGGCAAAAAATTCAAAAAAATAGGTGGTAGAAAAGGGGGTAGTGTATATTTGGGGTACACTTTTGGTGTACCCCTAGGATTGCTCCAAATTATATTATACATTGCTTTGTGTTTAATTTTCGCTAGAAATTATTTATAGTATAAATTTTATTTTACATGAAAATGAACACTAATTTATTTGAGAATGAATATTAATTTGTTTCAGAATAAATACTACATTATTTGTAGATAAATATTATAATTATATTGAACCAATATGTGAAAATGAGTACTGCATTATTTTAAAATGAATATCACGCTAATTATATTTGTGCGACAATGAGTACTAGCCTATTTCAGAATGAGTACGACCCCGGATGTACCTATCTCTAGGTACATCTGATTGTACCATATATCTTTTCAAGTAAACGAGTTAGGATATTTAAAGTAATTTGCGTATTAAAAACTAAAATGAGAACTTTATTTCTATATAAAGAAAAAAATAAGAATTTTATTTTTTGGATGTGGGATTACTTCGTATTTGATTACAAAGAATTAAATATAGAAAATGGATTATTTTAAAGCATCTTAAAATTTAATCATATACTCCAAGTATTTATTATTTACCGTTTTAATTATCTATCTTTTTTTCTTTATTATTTGAGATTTAGACATAATTTTTATTTGGTGTGTAAGTGGGATTACAAATTTGATTTTTAATGTCGTTAGTTCCAAGGACGATTCCGCAATGCCACTCATCCCGCTCAAACATTCGGACTTGGGGGGCCTGTATTGGGATAAAGGCTTAGTATAAATGGGTCCGCCTAAGAGAATGTCTCGACCACACCCCGACAAGTCTCATTTGTAAATATAATGTAGTCATGTTCTCTATTATTCCGTAGATCTTTTTATATAATTTTTAAATATGTAATCTTTAATTTTTTTTATTTTCACCTTAATTTTTAGATGAATTGTATTGAAAATAATTTCATTCAGCTCAATTGGGTTCGGTTCTCTAAAATTATAGACCTAACTAAGGCTTTAAGTCATATGTTAGGCCCAAACCCATCTTATAATATTAATCGATGGGTTAGGTTCCCATCAAATACTATTAAAAAATAACTAATATTTCATCTATGACATTGTGTAGATATCATCTTTATGTCTATGCCATGATAGCTACAAACTTAACATCAATAATAGGGTTTATTGCACCAACATCTCATGTAATTCGATAAATATATACTGTAACTGTCTATAGTTTTAAACTCACGTCGTTGTTTTTCATAATTATGATATTGAATTTTAGAAAATACTCCGTATTGTAAGAATGACAAAAATATTCTTCATTCCAAAATTATTTTTATGACAGTTATATAAAAAAATATACTTATTTTGGAGTCAGATAAAATCTCCTTTTTTAATTGTTCAAAAATACTTTTATTGAGTTACAAAACATTTATCAAAATACTCATTTTGATATTAGAAAATATTTTTGGTGAGCAAAAACTATACGGAGGACCAGCAAAGCGATTCACAAAAGGTTTGAAAGTTGTTTCAGTAAGTATAGAATAGTACTACTAGCATTAGCGTAAGAATACTCTGAGGCGGTCTGCTCTAGCATTATTCTTTTCCAGCAAAGAAGCATAAGACAGGCGTTGACATCCTCCAATCACAGGCTCATCAGATGACTCTGGCTCCTCCTCCTCCTCAAAGCTATCGTCGTCCATCTCAGCCTCCGTATCCCACAGTGCCGTCATTCGAAACATGCCCTCAAAAACATATTCTCCATCTTTCTTTTCGTCCGGAATCAAACCCTACAAACAAATAAATAAAAACTCTGTCAATTAAAGCCATATGTTCTCATTTTATAGACTTCATATAATCAAAAACATAGTGTCTTCCCCAACCCTACCTACCTCCAACACATCTTCAGCACCCTTCACATCCAAATAACATTTACCCTTAACAGAAACAACCACTTGTTTAAGTGTAAACGTTTCCAAGTACACAGATGCCTCCGGACATGATTCCCTTATCTTTTTCATATTTGCACCGTCTTTACCAATGAGATCTTCAGTATACCGCAGGGGAATTCGCGTAAAATCATGAAACTGCAAAACAAACCAAATGTGAACTTTCTGCTGTTTATCTACACCAAATACCCAAAAACACAGAATGGAGACACACACCGGGGGGAGGCACTAACCAAAGAGCACTCCGTGGAAGACTTTCTTTCAGCTTTTTCAGGCACACACGCTCCATGATTTGATGGACGAATGCAATTCTGTGAGTATCCATGTGCATAGAAAAATAAAAGATGAGTGACTACAGGTAAGGAGAATATAATCCAGCACGCGTACAATATAGCATTTGAACCTACTCGACTATTCAGCTCTGACTTCATGCTCTCTTCAACTCCAAACTCTCCCAGATAAGAAACAACTGAGTCAACTGTCTCAAGTACACAATCACGCCTCCCGCTCACATCAACAATCACATCACCAGGGAAAAAACCTGTCATGTTACCTACATAGTGTGTGCCAACATTTATTAGCATACTTAAAACAACAACTAGCAAAGTTAATAATAACATAGGAATAGAGTACATGCCAATTGCCCGCTTAGAACACACCTGATAGATACACACTAAGTCTGCTCGGATGGGGCTTCATTGTGTATAGAATAATCAACTTTTTTGCATGTGCAGCTGGTACAAGGAGTCTTGTTACGCACTGCTCATAAGGCATGGAGTGCAAAAAATATCTGTGAACCTCATCAAAAGCAGTAACAGCATGAAGAATGGAGCGCATAGAGTCCCTTTTCGCTGATACCATAACCTACGCACAACAATTTCATTTACTATCACACACAACCTGAACTCCAACAAGAAGAACGTTCATTCTATTTTCTCTAGTATCAATTGAGCTCAACGATACCAGTATTAAAAAAACAAGGCACAACAGAATTGATTGTATACATTTGAACATATCCATGATCTGATATTGAGATTATCCGTGTCACATTTATAACATGGTGAAAATGACACGAAAGCGGATTAAAACAAAACAGAACCTCAAAAAGAAAAGAGGAATGGAATAAAACGTAAAACCAACTGAAGATCAGGACACGTGAGAGGAGGGGGTGGGGTGAGCATACTGAACTTAGTACCGAGTAGTTTATAGAGGACAAAAATATGTGGCATAATCAGCAAGGCCAATTATAAAATTTAAATCTCTATCCCTCCCAAACCTTCCTCCCAGTTCATTACCCAAGAAATACCTATTCAACAAAACAATCATAAATGTGTCAAGAAAGATGGCGTATATAATTCAGGCTTACTTACAACTCCGACTCCGGTAGCTACAGAATGAAAATCCACTTCAACTTTTTTCTTCGCGTAAAGTGATTTCAAGAGATTAATCTTACTCTCGTGACAATCCATGGCAACTTCATCGTTTGTGGAAATCAACAACCTAAAAACAGTCCACTCTGGACAATTTTCATAATCACCAAACAAGAAACTAAATAATTGTTTCACATGCACATAAGTCAACATTTGAAGCCAGCAATTGTATACATTTTAGAAAGAACACAATCATTTTGTTCAGGGGGTCGGGTAGCACTACATGATGGGTGAGATCATAACAAAATGATTCCGTCCAACTTTGCTTCCGCCCAACCAAAATGATCTGATAGTAGATGACTCGAAACCTACTAAAAACTGTTTTCTGAAAGACTAGGCAAAGTTCAGGTTTTTTTATAGAAAATAAAGTTAAGGTTAATTGAAAAAACATCTGAAATTAGGGTAATGCCGATGAGATTTACTAATTAAATTTACACTTTCCAATTTACCTTTTAAGGAAAATAATACATGGTATAGTACTTCTCTCTCATACACAAATGTTAAACATCCATTTTTTCCTATTCAACCCTTTTTTCTGAACTCAAAGTCAAAATATGAAACACATGTTTGAAATAGAGGGTGTGTGTGTGTGACAAAATTTTTAAGCGCAAGAAATTGCATTCATTCCCTCAAACATAAAGTTATGAGATTGTAGGTCTCAATCAAGGCCAAGAAAAGAGGGTTAAAGAACGTTGGGATTGTGGAAGAATGTTGGTATTGTGTACCCGGTGTCTATGAACAGATAAGAAGAATGTTGCAATTGTGTACCCGGTGTCTCATCCACATTCTGCTCAAAAAATAGTTTCCTCTTTTTTTCAATGGAACCCTGTGTCTCATCCACATTCAAGTCCTGGGACAAATGACGGGAATAAATTGACATGCAATAACTTAGATCCACCAACAATGAAATAACTGATAGTTGAACGAAAATGGGAAAGTAAAGCAGAGTATTGTATTATTGCTCGCAATTATATACTACAGTGGTAAAATACTTGAGAACTGAAAATCAAACTAGGCTTTGAAGCATTTAATTTATAATCCTCTCTCGGGTGGAAATAAGAACAGTCAGCTACGTATGAAGCGTTCATAAATCAAACGGCATTGAAAGTATGTGACACAAAATTGGTTTGAGGGGACGAATCCAACCCTGTTGGTTCATCTCCCTCTGCCGGATGATACAAGCATGGGAAATTGACCAAAGCCCGCACAGAGAAGGATGGACAGAGCCGATAATAAGAGAAAAGAAAAGGGGAAGCGGTCATATACCTCGGATCTAAATCGACGATGGTGATTCTTAACAAATCCGTTCTGCGCTGGTTTCGGTTCCTCCATATCTTCTCTTATCCGTTTTCCCGGAAGCAAAGCGTGTAGGAACGAATATGATCCAGAACCCCTTTTACAAATGAAGCCCTACGACTAGGCCTGATGCTCTCTTTGAAAACGTTTTTTAATCCCATAAAGATTTGCGGAAAATTCTATTTTCAATCAATAACAAAATTAGTACGACTTATATATATACACAGATATATACACACACACACACATATATATATGTATATCGGGGCCAGTTTCCGTGAGAATGAACCTTATGTAAAGAAATGAGAATAGAATCTAGCCGTTAGCCGTTGGATCTAATGCACCGTGCGACTCAGATTGCATCTTGCGCTCAAATTTTGATATAGTGCATTTTCAAAGATTTTTGGTGCATTTCAACGTGATGCATTTTCAAACCATTTTGGTGCACCTAATTTTGATACAATCCTGACCCTTAGATAGCACTAGATTCATTCTCGTCAGAGCCTATATATATATATATATATATATATATATATATATATATATATATATATATATATATATATATATATATGCACGTACATACATACGTATGCACACGAATGGAATTTAAGGGGAAGGTTAAGGTGGGATTTCTCAATTCTTTTAGAAAACCAAAGCACTTCATTTTATCACATACATTAAGGAAAGTATTACAAAAGCAACTTAAAAGCAAAGATCAGTACTCCATACACAACACTACTGTAATACAATTTTGTTAAGAAAAAATGTGGATTTCGGTCCAAATAAATTACTACAAGAAAAGTTGAGTATAATGTGGTAAATTGGTGAATGCCAAATTTTGTACTGCTGAGTATACAAAACATCTTTATTTCATTATTTGGAATTCTCAACTCAAATTATTTTACCTAATCTCTTGGTTCAATTTCCTGTAGAGTTTCATAACAACCACCAACTCTGCCAGCAAGCAAAACTATTGCATTTTTGGCAAAGAAGTACTTATTTGCATCATCGGAAACTGAAAGAGAGTAAACCATTGTTAATTGAAAAACTAGCTGAATTTTGAATTAAGAAAAAAGAAAATATATTTAACCTTCGATTCCTTCGCGGCTTCTTCTCTGCCTAGCAGCCATTATCAGATTTATCACCCTCATATTCATATCATCGGTGTCCAAAAACACAAAGCCAAATACAGTTGTGCCACATTGTGAAATAAATGACAATCATATTAATACAATGAACATAACAACCAAACACACCCTAGATAAGACGAGGGGCCCTAAGCAATTAGCGATATATTAACCAATCCAACTTCATGACATTAAGGCCCCAAACATCCAACACAAATTGTTTTGATAAGGAAATCATGTCCAGAGGCATCTGTTTACTTAGAACCGTTTACACTTAAACAAGTGTTTGTTTCTCTTAAGGGTAAATGTTATTTGGATGTGAATGGTGTTGAAGATGTGATGAAGTTAGTGTTGGAGAAGACCTTATGTTTTATGTTACTATTTTACTTTAGTTCATATCAAAACAATTTGTGCTGGATGTTTGGGCTTCAATGTCATGAAGTTAGATTGGTTAATGTAGCGCTAATTGCTTATGGCCCCGTCTTATCTAGGGTATTTATCTAAGGTATGTTTGATTGTTATGTTCATTGTGTTAATATAATTGACATTTATTTCACAGCATGGCACAACTGTATTTGGCTTTGTGTTTATGGACACCGATAATATGGATATGAGGATGATTATGGCTGATAGGGAGAGAAGTAGCCGCGAAGGAATCGAAGGTAAAATATATTTTCTTTTTTATTAATTCTAAATTCAGCTAGTTCTTCAACTAACAATGGTTTACTCTCTTTCATTTTCTGATGATGCAAAGTACTTCTTTGCCAAAAATGCAATAGTTTTTCTTGCTGGCAGAATTGGTGATTGTTATGAAACTCTACAGGAAATAAAAGCAAGAGATCGGGTAAAATAATTTGAGTTGAAAATTCCAAATAATAAAATACAGATGTTTTGAATACTCAGTAATATGAAATTTGGCATTCACCAATTTACCACATTATACTCTACTTTTCTTGTAGTAATTTATTTAAGCCGAAATTCACATTTTTACTTAACAAAATTATATTACAGTATGTTAAGTATGGAGTACTGATCTTTATTTTTAAGTTGCTTTTATAATACTTTTCTTAATGTATGTGATAAAATAAAGTGATTTTGTTTCCTAAAAGAATTCACACCTTAATCCTCCTCCTAAACTTAATTCGTATGCATACATATGTACGTACGTGCATGCATACGTATGTACGTACGTACGTGCATGCATGCATGCATACATACATACATACATACATACATACATACATACATACATACACACACATATATCTATACATACATACACACACACATATATATGCATACATACACACACACACACACATATATAGTGGGGATGGTGGAATCACACAGTCAAACTACATCTTGTACATTTTTAAACATTGTAACATTTTGGGCTAATTTTATACGGAGTACTATGCATGAAGTTGTACTAATTTTAATATTGATTGAAAATAAAATTTTCCGCAAAACTTTGTGGGATTATTAAACATGTTCAAAGAGAGCATCAGGCATAGTCGTAGGGCTTCGTTTGTAATAGGGGTTATGGATCATATTTGTCCCTATTTACATGTATTGGGAAAACAAGAGAACACATCGCAAATCATTGGAAAAACAGGGTCGGGTGCTGAATACACGTTGGAAATGTTGTTGAATTAGTAAGTATTACTTTGTATAAATGGATGTCATCTATTAATTAGTAGAGTGAGATAGTCAGTTTGTGTTAAACGCTTTACACACCTTTGGGGTAAATAGAAGTGTTCACAAAATAAAGTCATTTTTTCGCAAAAGCACACAAAACACATGGATAAATAGCTAAATATTGAAGCAAAAATTAAAGTGCAAATAGTGACACCGATATATCCTGGTGTATGGCACATTAAACTCTTCAAACTTCAAGTGTTCAAGAATTTTCAAATAATAACTTGATAATTTTAGTAAGAGGAAGATAAAATTGAATGATTCTCTTTGAATAATCAAAGGATGTGTTAAGAAAGATATTCTTGGTATTCTTGAATGATTAAAGCGAAGAGAGGAGTAATTCTATAAGATAGGGTTGGTTAACTTCCAAAATATTTGAAAAAAATGATAGTTGAACAATTAAAAATGTAGATTTAGTAAAGCAGAGTATTGTATTATTGCCCTCAATTATATACTACTGTGGTCAAGCTACGTATGGAGCGTTCATAAATCAAACGGCAGTGAAAATATGTGACACAAAATTGGTTTGAGGGGACGAATCCAGCCCCTTTGGATCGACGGAGCCGATAATAAGAGAAAAGAAAAGGGGAAGCAGTCATATACCTCGGATTTGGATCGACGATGGCGATTCTTAACAGATCCGTTCTGCTGTTCCTCCATATCTTCTCTTCTCCGATTTGCAGGAAGCAGTGCGTGTATCGCCTTGCCCTAATTAATAGGGTTGAGCTGCTGGTTCTTCTCCCTCTGAGAGGATGATATGATGACCCAAAACTGGCCGGAGCCGATAATAAGAGAAAAGAAAACGGAAGAAGCGGTCATATACCTCGGATCCGGATCGACTCTTAGCAGATCCCTTCTGCGCTGGTTTCGGTTCCTCCATATATCTTCTCTTCTCCGATTTCCAGGAAGCAAAGCGTGTATCCCCTTGCCCTAATTAACTATACTTGCAGGACTCGACCGCTTGGCCTCAATTTTTCTACCCCTCCGTCTGGTTAATCATGGTCACGTTAAATTGATTAATTTTGTTTAGTCTTTTTCCAAATATGTTTTTAACTACTCCCTCCGTCCGGATTTTAAGTTCCCATTTTTGACTTTTGGTCATTTTTATTGATTGTTGACTTTGTGATGAAAATGTCCACAATACCCCTTCCCTGCTATCTCAACACTGGTCCTTCCCTGCTATCTCCGATCTATAGGAGTTAACCGTCATCTCAGGAAGCAGATCCCTGGTCACTGGTCCACACCACCACCGTCATCTCCACCCGCTGTCTTCCCTAGTCCACACCACCACCGTCATCTCCACTCACCGACCGCACTAGCAGAAGCTTTCTCAGGAAGCAGATCTGCAAGAAGGTGAAGTTCAATGACCACAGAGCTGACCCGCCTACCACCTCCAACAAAAGATCATATGTAATTTTAACAAGATCTAGGCGGAGGAGGAGAATCGGAACAAGAAATTTCAAAAGAGATGGTGCAGATCTGGCCGGAAAAGAAGCAGATCGAGAAAAAATAATGGAGAAGAAAGGAGAAGAAGAAATGAGGGAGAAGAGGGGGATTAAGAAATAGACGGAGAGAGAAGAAGAAGATTGGAGTGATGGGGGGATAAAGAGAGAAAAGAACTGAGAAAAGAGAGAGGGAAGACAGAAAAAAAACAAGAAACGGAGGAAAGGACAGAGAAAAGAAAAAGAAGAAACGGAACAAATGAGGGGGGAGGGGTAATTTTGGAAGATTGGGTATGAAAACGTATAATGGGAACTTTATTTTCGGACGGAGAAAAGCGTATAATGGGAACTTAAAATCCGGACGGAGGGAGTACATCCTTACTCTAAAACTATTATTTTTACTCTCTTATTTTAAATATATATTTTCATCATTGTAAAATTTATCAATTCTGTTTTTTAATTCCTCTAAACTTCTCATGTTTCATTCTATCTCGTTTCTATATTCTCAAGTTAACTTAAACAAAAATCAACTTAAATAAGATTAAAATGTAGAGAAAAATACTAAAATAATACTTTCATGTTTTTTTCACGAAATAGAACTTTACAATGTAGCAATGTGATATTGTACATGTACATATTATTATACTTTTTGGTAAAGTACATTAACATGTTTGGTAATGTAAATGCATTTTAATTTCTATTTCAATAATAAAAATATGCAAGTCATATTTTGATATATTTTCAATATTTTAGTCTTACATTGATCTTTCTCCATAACTTAAACTTACGTAGACATAAAAGAGAAATCGGAAAAAAGAGAACTATATTCCAAAAGTATTATTATAGCATCTCTTTGAACATCTAAATCATCTAATGGCGGCATCTCGGCTTGTTAAAATTCCTATGGTCGATCGTATTCACATACAAATACAATATATATATATATATATATATATATATATATATATATATATATATATATATATATATATATATATATATATTATTTTTAATTATAAATTTTTATACTCCCTCCGTCCCAATTTAAATCGCCCGTTTTGACTTTTGGGCATATTTAAGGAAAATAAAAAATAAAGTTGATTTTTCAAAATTGACATTACTTTTTAAGAGGGGTAATGATGAATGAGAAGGTAAAGTGAAAAAGAATGACTTATTCTAAGGGTAATATAGGTATTTTATTTTTAATAGTTTACGAAAACAACTAACAGGCAATTTATTTTGGGACGGAGGGAGTAGTATATATATGAGTGTTACATATGAAGCAGTAAATTACTAATTAAAATTGATATTTTAAAAAAAATAATACAAATCATTAAAAATATTATTGCTGAATTTTTCTATTGTTGAAAAATTGGTTAAAAATTAAAGACATGGTGGTATTACTAAAAATAAAATAGTGTGTCGCATTTTTTACAGAGTATTTATTTATTTATTGTGCTAGTCATCAGAGGCAGATCTATTAAGAGTCCCATGGGGTCCCCACGGACCCCGATGTAGGTCCATATATGTATTAGGTTTAATTTGGGATTCTATATATAGAAAAGAAGCCTGCGGTAAACAATATGCCGAGATAGTTCAGTGGAAGCGCTGGCTCCCCTCCAACCAGGTAGTGCCGTGTTCGAAACTTGGGCTGGTTTTTTTCTTGGGCGATGAGTACCAATTCATTTCTTAGGGTAGTTCGTTTAATGTTGCTCTCAATATTTTTTAAAATCTTTTGAAAATGAGTATTAAATCTATTGATAAAGAACTTTTATTTATTTTATTTAGTATTTTACTAATATAATTTACGATTTTAATTGATTGTTAATTTTAGACTTTATAAATTGTTTAAAGGTAAGCACTCAGAAAACTTGTTTATAGGGGTGTAAACGGATATTAATCGGATCGGATGTGCCATTACCAAATCCGTATCCGTTTATTTTTGTCGGATATCGAATTCGGATACGGATCTTGACGGATACTGAAAATCAAAACCGTATCTGCATCCGTCGGATATCGGTCGGATATCGGATATATCCGTATCCGTTTCTGATTTTTAAAATCAAATTAGACAATACTTTAATTTTAAATTTTATTAAAATGATCAAACTATTATTAAATCAACTATAGTTTGTTATGGGATGATTATTTTCTTTGTTTTCATGATTTATGATATTCTACGATAACTTCATATGATAAAAAGATATACACGACACACATATACACATATTTTTATATGTCTGCACATATTTTTATGTGTCTACACATTTATTTTGTATATAAAAATTTCTGATACTCTGAAATATCAATAGCGAAATAAAATATAAACATAAAAAATAGGAAAAACTATATATAACGGATCAGATATTTGAATAAACGGTTATCTAAACGGATGCATATTCGGATCGGATTTTAAACGGATCGAATATACAATTACCAAATCCGTATCCGTTTAGTAATCGGATATCCTTAATCGGATACGGATAATATCTGTTTAAAACGGATGCGGATATTTCCTCTTTAAACGAATACGGATACGGACGGTAATCGGATTTTCGGCTATCCGTTTACAGCCCTACTTGTTTAAAGATAAATTTTTAGTGTCATTTCAATCGTAAATCTAAAATGACTCATTAATGATTGTCTCTTAAAATTGAATTTACAATTCTAATATATTTGAAAAAACACTCAAAATGCAAAGAACCAAAATCTTGTGGAAGTTATATGGATTTAATACGGAGTACTAATATTTCAGTGTCCCAAGTAAGTACTTAATCTTTACCTATTAACAAAAATTCAAAAGCCATTTCAATTTTGAATCTTTAGAGATTGGCTCTCTCTTAAGAAAGAAAATATTCGATGTTCATCTGAGTATTATAAATAAGATATTTCATAGTTATCTTCAAAAAAAGTTTACAAACCTTAATACAATAAATTTCTTTCTAAACTAATTAGTGGAAAGAAGCATATTTTTGTTTATTTTTGGTTTGACCAATTGTAAAATGCCTTTGTAAAATACTAGTAATAATTATGAACTATGTATATCCAGATCACTAAAATTGGATAAAATCGGGGGGTGGGCAAGTCAATTTGGAAACCGGACTCCCAACCAGTTTGGGCTATCCCTTGAAAAACCTTAGAAACCCAAATTGACACAGAAAACTCACAACCTGGCGGCCACGCTGATTCTTTGCTGCTTAGGGTTTAAACATTGATTTAAATAGAAAATATTTTTTGAGTTTATTTCTAAAAGATACAAAGTATGAATTAGCTCAAGGTAAAAACTCAAAGGTAAGAAAATTTGGGACCCCATGGTCCAAAAATCCTGGATCCGCCTCTGCTAGTCATACACTCATACTCAAGCAAATGAAACACTAGCTACTTCAAAATAGACTTTTCATAGTATCACTAGAAGTAAAAAATGAAAAGAAAAAAAATTGCAAAGAGGGTTCATTTAAAAAAATGGTAAAGACTTTTTTGAAAAAAAAAGAAAATAGTGTTATAGAATTATAGCACCACCACAAGTAAACAAATATGGAAAAAAACATTGAAAAGATAATGTATTAAAAAGGACTTATTTTTAAAAAAAAATAAGAAAAGAAAAGAATGCACGGATGAATTTGAATGCTAGCACCCGGAGCTCTCTTGAGCATGTTTCATTTTCTTTCCGCATTGAACATTACCTCTAAGCATTTATTTCTAATATTGGCATGCATAAACATCTCATCTCTCCTTTGAGCATCTGCTTTAGACATCCCATTAGAAATGACCTTATACTTGCAAAACTCGACGGCAACTGGATCCAATTTATCTTGGCATCAAAATTAATGAGCAATTTTTCTTTATGTCCTAATTTTTTGTCTCTTTTACGATATTTGATTAAAATGATTTCCAATATGTTTTAAATAAAAGTTGGTGCAGAATTTAAAAAAGCACAATGCATTGCAAGTACTAAGTGCAAGTTCTATTCTTTACTACCAATCTGCAATCAAAGTTTATTTTGCTTTTTGTCGATGACTTCCTAGCCAGGTGTGAATGGACACTCAAAGATGAAGTTCATATTTTTTTACTCCGTATCAATCAAGTTTACTAAGAGACATTGGAGTCTTGGATCAAAAGGATAAATGATGGCTAATTATGATATATATATGCTCTCTTTTCCTTGTAAAAGTGGCATGTTTTTATTGCCTATTTGCCTGCCACCACCACCTTCTTATATTATTATTGCATTTAAATATACTTTGCTTAAATTACTTTGTCACAAAAAAAAAACATTCTGAAATTTATAAATTAAAATTAAATAATTGAAAGGTGAAAAAAATTTTTTTAGAAAAGAGATTATAAACTGTGTGGTTTTTTGTTTGTGAATCTAACATTTTTGTTGAGTACATGCAAAAAAGAGATCAAAATTTAGGAATGGCAAGTTAGAAGAGCTCAAGAGACAACTTTGCGGGATGCAATTGATTGGCTTATTACATCAACTTATTAATTTGGACAATTAGAGTCTGTTTGAGAATAACATTAGAGATTAACGTTAACGTTTTGAAAAGGCTATATATGGACAATGTTTAACGTTAGCATTGTCAAAGTAATCAGCACCAATAAATATCCAACACACTAACATGCACTAATCTCTAACGTTATTTCCAAATACTAATATCCAACACTGCCTTATTTTAATTTATTAAATCACTACCGAAATTTAGAACAGAGTATTTTTTAAGGATACTTGTAAGTTCTAACATTTTTATGTACACAAAATAATCAAATATCATTACTTTTCCCTTCATGCATGAAGGCATTATTGTAAAATTGCAAATGGAATAAAAAGAATGCGAGCATAAGAAATCACTTAAAATCAGAGTAATACATAATTCTTATTTTGAAAATAGGAATAACATTATGTACTACTTTCGTTCTTGAGTATTTGTCCAGTCAACGGTTTTAAACCTTATGATCTATAATTAAACACAATATATATTATATATTAATTATATAAAATAATATTAATTCTTTCTTGTAAACTTTTAAATTTTTTAATCCTACATTGCCACAAAACATTTTAACATTGCCTAAAAGTAAATAATTGTTTTTACTTTTTTTTAATCTAACCGAATCTACTCAAACTTCATTCTAGGGCTTATCCATTTTGACATTTCCTGGAGTCCTACTTGTTTCAATTATCATCGTTTCACTTTGATCAAACTTTTGTAACCTCACCTCCCAAAAGTCAAAACAGAAAATGATATATGGAACAGAGGAATATGTTTTTTAAATTTGTAAAAGAGCATTATTTTAAAATAAATACTCCCTCCGTCCCTAAATAATTTACACATTTTACTATTCAAAAATCACGAAAACTTTTATTTATTTTTATATTTTCATTTACTATTTGATAAAACAAAATATTTTTGTCACATCTTGTTTTATAGAATTCTTGATGCGCTTATTAAATATGTAAATTTTATTTTTTATTTATATGCCAATCATTAAATAAAATGAAATGAAAAAATTTAAAATTTTACTTCATTTGGTGTAAAAGTACCAGAGAAAGTATAATAAATAAATAAATAAATAAATAAATAAATAAATAAATAAATAAATAAATAAATAAATAAATAAAAGGCATGAGCTTGGTGCGTTTTGCCAACCTGCAGGGTGCCTGTGGTCCTCAATGTGATTATGATGTTACACTTACATATGGCACTCCTCACCACTCACTCCTATCCACACAAAAAAAAAAGGAAAAATAATAATTGTATACGCATGCATATTGCATATATATATATAGGGATAATTATAAAAGAGTTTTAGGTGTTTATTTTTATATTTATTATTTAAAAAGAAAAAAAAAGCACTACTTTTTAGTTGATTGGGGCCATGGGCGGGAAGAATATTTCCTCTTATAGAGTCTCATGTCCAAAAATGAATCAAAATGTTTGGTGGGCAAAAGATAAATACGGAGTATAAAGATTCAAAGGAACAATAAAAAGTACACACTGTATGGCCTAGCAGATATACAAAAACATTAATAAATAAAAAGGAAAAGAAAATAAAAGAAGAAGCAAGAAATGTCCCAGCAGAGGAACAGCAGCAGGGAAAACCAACCAAAAGAATTGTTAGAAATGAGACAAAGGCATCATATATTTGACGACAACCGCCGATGTAAAAGAAGAAATAAAGAAGAAACATTGACAGGACCGCGACTAATTAATAAGTTCCACCTTTAAACATATTTATTTGCACTGTTTTTATATGGTTTTTTTTTTCTTTTGAAAAAAATAGAAATCAAGTCATTTACAAATCTTACATCCTTAATTATAAAAAATATCCCATTTTGAGTCTTCCTTCATTCTAAAATATCCCACTTTTGTGATCAGACTTTTTAAATTTTGACCCTATATTATGAAAAATAATAAAATAAACTTCAATTTAAATTTAATATTAATAGATTGATTTAGAAACATAATTTTAAAATATTTTATTTTTATAATATATAAAAATAAATATATTAATGATCAAATTATTGTATTGGAAATCATGAAAAGTTAATTTTAAAATGAAAATAGTACATTTCATACATCATACATGCATGTTTTGAGTTAAAAAAAGGTTAATTTGAACTGCAAATAGTCATTCATCAAAGTACAGAATTAGAATGCATTTAGTTAGATTCTCACGTTGATTATGTTAGAATCTAACTCGTGTTTCGCTCCGAGAATAGAATTTAGGATAAATGGAAGGAAAATGGCTAGAAGACATTTCATCGAATGGGGATTATTTAAAAACGGAATTTCCCGCCATACCATTACTTTTAGGATATGGACAAGTGACACGAAAATCAAGAAAAATAAATTTGTATGGTTGATATTGATGTTATCTGCTCTGCACCGAAATAGATTTTAATCTTTTTTTTCTATCTCTTCTCAATAATTTTATTTATTTATGTATTTTCATTGAGTATTTTATAAAGAGGAATTTTAAGTAAATAAAACATAATGATTTTTTCTAAATATCACTACATGTGTTTTTTCCCAATTTAGCACTTTTAATTATTATTGTTATTATTCAAATAAATGTTTGCCATCACTTGTCACCCATTAGTCATTATTCAAATAAATGTTTGCCATCACTGGTCATTATAAACACTATTAAGCGTTATTTAAAAAATAAACACAATTTAAGTGCTATTTAGAGAAATGATTTAAACACAATTTAAATGCTATTTAGAGCAATGACTTAAGTTTTAGTATTATTTAGTGCAAATATTTTTTTTTTAAAATATAATATTCTTGTTATCTCTTATTTTTTAAAACTTTTGATGTAAATTTTTAATATTTAATTCTGATAAAAGTATTGTGAAGCATTTATGTTTATTTCTCCAAGGGTTGTGTTGAATACAGAAAACTCCTACCCTATTTATAAGCCAAGAATCCAAATCCTAGAAGGAAACCAGTAAACTAGGAAACACAGAGTACAAGACCAAAATAAACTAGGAAATCACTTAAACCAAATCCTCAAAGGATTCGGCCTTCCAGTGTGCGTGCAAGCCAAGGAACGAATTCTCGTTCCGTAACACCCCCCCTCAAGCGGGTACGTGTGGATTACGAGTGCCCAGCTTGGACAACAGATGCATGAAAGACGCAGTGGGCAATGCTTTAGTCAGGATGTCAGCAGGTTGATCAGCCGAAGTAATATGCATGGTGCGAAGGATGCCACGCTGAATCTCATCCCGAACGAAATGACAGTCAATTTCGATGTGTTTAGTGCGCTCATGGAATACTGGGTTTGCTGCTATGTGAATCGCAGCCTGACTATCACAAAATAACTTCATAGGAAGGCGCACTGTAATTCCAAACGACAAAAGAAGAGACCGCAACCACTTGAGTTCACATACAGTAGTAGCCATCGCACGATATTCAGCTTCAGCCGATGAACGGGAAACAGTATGTTGTTTCTTTGTTCGCCACGAAATTGGTGAATCCCCAAGCTTTATAAAGTATCCTGTCACCGAACGACGAGTGAGCGGACAGCTTGCCCAATCAGAGTCGCAGAATGCCGTGAGGGACAAATCCCCATCAGCGGGAAGAAAAAGTCCTTGACCAGGCCGAGATTTTAAATAGCGAAGAGTATGTTGAGCAGCATCCCAATGTTCCTGTCGGGGGGTCCCTATAAACTGTGAAAGAGTGTG